ATGAATGTGCTGTGCATTTGTGAGTGACAAAATAATGTACTTACTAATTTCTATATTTCTGGAACTCTCAAACCATATGGGAAGAAATGATTAAAACCTGTTTCACATCTTTCAAGACCTAATTATGATTTTCCTTTATAAACAGAATTGCGTTGTACCATGATAGTCACACTAACTGGGTTTCCTGGGTTCCACACATTATTGAATGAGGCCTGCCACCAGTTTCGTCTCGTAATCCCCCATGGACAGGCATGTGATCATCCAGTTTTTCAGACAGTTTTTATCAGCCATCCAGCTATTCCTTACATTCACCAGAGCAAAGGCAAGCAAACACATTTCTTGTGTTCAGTGTTTCAAAAAACTTGCATACTCTTGTCAGTGTGCAGCTGGTACATCTTGGACCCCTGTTGTAGAGTGATATTGCTGTCACACCGTGATGGTGATGTGAAATTAGAACCCAACCTAAGGAACAGCGTCAGCCTGGAAGACAACAGAGAACAAAACTGGAGCCCAGATGAATGATACTTGGAACTGTGTGTGTGTTGTGTCAAAAAAGCAGGAGCAATATCTAACATTTGGAAAAGAGTGAAATTAATCTTTTTTTTTTTCATGAATCTGCAAATGCTAAGATAGCATGAACAGCGTGGGCAGAGAAGTTTACACTGGTCCATTTTCCTCAAATGAAAGGAAAACAAGGATTCCCTTTTTGGCTTCATGCAAGACAAATCTGCATTTCTTGGCTCTAAATGTCATCTGTCTCTCATACTGAAGATCTTCCACAGTTTCAAGTGTATTTGAAGTTGATTGGACTGGAGGGAATATGATTGCATGCAATCTTTGAGCATTAACAGGTTTAAAAACTTTTTTGAGTACTGGTTGCTATTTCTTCTTTCCTTTAGAGTAATTTAATGTGTTTGGCTTTACTTGGACTTTGGAATGTGTGGTGCTTGTGTTGTCTTCTTCTCTCTAAGTTGACACTCACATAAATTAGTATAAACATTTCTAGTCCTTCTTTCAGACTTTTTGTTTTTCTAATGATCTTCACGTATCCTTTCAAACATACTTTTCTGTTATGTCTTAACAACCATCAGTTTGTGCCCTGAATTAAGCCCTACCTCTAGTAGGAACTCTGCTTAAAGGATAAGCAAGATATTTTGTCTTACTTGTGGTTTATAGGGACTCACCCATAGAAATAATGGTATTAATGTAGATTGATATTCTAGCAGAATACAAGAATATGAAGAAGTACAAGTTGTTTAAGAGAAAAATTTTACTGACATGAACGTACTGGCCTTAAGTTTTGCTAGGGAAGGTTCTGGTTGGATATTAGGAATAATTTCTTCTCAGAAAGAGCAGTGAGGCAGTGGCACAGGCTGCCCAGGGAGGTGGTGCAGTCACCGTCCCTTGAGGTGTTCCAGAACCGTGTGGATGTGGCACTGAGGGACGTGGTCAGTGGGCATGGTGGGGATGGGCTGCTGGTTGGACTAGGTGCTCCTAGTGGGCTTTTCCAACCTTAATGATTCTATGATTCTGTGATAATTTAGGCCTAGCCCTTGCTATCCAAAAATTTTGTGTGATATTCTGGGACAAAGTTATGTGCAGTCAGCAAATCTCTCAGATTTATTTCAACCAGAAAGTCAGTTGTTCAAATCAACAGCACACAAGGCACAAGCCTGGGAGACATGCAAAGGTACTGTATCATAGGTGTACATACTGTATAATATGTATGCTAAAAAAGAAAAAAAATCACCTCCGGCTGCTTTTTGTGAGTAGCCTGATGTTGTTATGTCTGCTTGGAGACAAATAAGTCAAATTTTTAGGGAAACTAGGTGCTGGAAAGCCTCAGTTCAGTTACCAATCTGGCTAATCTTGGAACTCTGCATTCTCTTCAGGCTATGGCAGGTTTAATACCTACCAATTCTGTACGTGGGAAATAAAGCACTTGAAAATCCAGCACAGGAGATAACCACTGCACAAAGTGCTGTTTTAGACCATGTTTTGATCATGTAGTCTGTGTCTTAACAGTGATGCACTGTGAGAGAAAAATTAAAGGTACTAGTGGAGACTTCCTTTTTTTTCCATGTACTTCTACCTAGAAAACAACAAAAATCATGTTTCATGCACTAGGAAAGCAGTGTTTTTGTTTTAACTTCCTTCTAGCTGCAGCTTCCCACAGCTTTAATATAGTAGAATATTATCACAGTTTGTTTTGTTTGTTACTGAAGTGTGGATATCGGCATAAAAAAGAACAGAACTTTGATCACTGTGAAATCTTATGTTAGCTTTGTGTTTCTTTATAACCACTAAAAGCAATCACACACAGGCAGTGTAACATATTTGTTCTTTCATTTTTCCAAAAGCATTTTCACATCAAAACACTGCTGTTGCTATAATATACAGTGTAAATCTATACTTCCATTTCACAGGGAAGAGATTGCAGCTATTTGATTTATTAATAAGCCAAGGAGCCTTTGCAACAAATCAGAATTTAGCAGCTTTGTTCCCTTACGTAAACTACTATTCTAATTGGATTTTCTCCCCTCCCAGATATTATCTGATTAAAGATCATAATCACGTATTTCAAGTTAATTGTAGCAGAACACAAGTACACAGACAGTTAGATTTAACGATTTGGGACTTTTCGTTCCAAAACTGAGTCATAAACACAGAGAACCCAACAAACAGGAGAAAGAGCATGTTGCATCGTAGTTGTGTAGAGGTCAGGTAGGTTTAGTCCTCTATAATCTTGAAAGAGATCTTCAAGATCCTTCCTTCTTTTTTTTTTTTTTTTTTTTTTTTTTTTTTTTTTTTTTTAATTTGTGAAGACCTTATCTCTAGTTTCTAAGCAGATTTTTTTCTTATTTGTAAAGTTGTTGGCTTTGCTGACATGAATTCATAGCAGAACGGAAGTTCAGCTGTAAAAGTGAATGTTAATACATCTGTATGGCATAGAAAAGCATGCAGTCTCTGTGATGAGTTTAGCAGCCAGAGAAAGCTTGCATTTGATTACACTGTTTTTTGTTATAAAGTGTCTCCAGGATTCTCTCAGAGGCATCCAGCAAAGGTGTTAAGATTTCTTTCTTTTCTTGTTTTAGGACTGCTGAATGAAAATTTGTACTAAATGAACAAACACTTCTATCAGTGTGTGTATTTTAACAAAAAGGCAGTCGTGCTTCCCTTTCCAGTCTATTCTTCCCCTCCAGTTTCAAATGCTGTTTAATCTACCGTGTTGGTTCTTCTTTACCACAGTACTTAGACAGAGAGTTTATTACTGAAAGACTTTGAGCAGTGTTTGTAGATTATTTTTCCTGCACTTTGGTGACGGTGCAGTGTCTGTAGATGTGCACCTTAGAAAGAAGAAGGCAAAGACACAAGGGATAGTAGTGCACAGGTTTAGAGATGTGGTAACAGATCTCAGGTGCTGAGACCTGGAAGCTTCACATTATCTGTTCCAACCAGCAGTTCTTTCCTAGTTCTTTACTAATAGTTCTACCTGTCTGCAGGGAGTAGCTGAGGAATAAGGCTCAAAGGGGATGAACATGCAGCTTTACAGGCTCTGCTCTGTTCTAAAGTCTAATGGAAGTTCAGGTGCCTCCGTAGGAGTAGATACTACTGAACATTTCCAGAATCAAACTCAGTCACCTAGAGAAGTTTAAGGCTGACCAGGAGAAATATCCCATGAACTTAAATACCAACAGTAGTTGGTGTGGAGATCATATGAATTTCTTGCTAAGTCTCAGGTACCTGATTGCCAACTTTGATATAATTTAGGAAGTCTGATTCTCAGCATGGCAATTTTATTCTTTGCTCAAAGATGGCCTCTGTTTTTATTGCTTTTTTCCCCCTGGTGACAACTTCAATTTTGCAAATAAAAGAGATTCTTCACTCTTGTGTGCTGTAGCTATCTCAAAGTGACAGCCCAGCTTCCCAGTTCACTTAACATCTCTTGTTTCTCAAAATTACAGTAAAGGTTTCCAACAGTGTCAGATTTGGGTGGTCTGAATTGTCTCCTATGTACTTTAAGTTGGTCTTCCAAGGGTATTTGGTGAAATTCTTCACCTCCTTTTAAGGAGCACCACTGATTGTGATCCTAGCATATCCTCCAGTCTCTTATTTCTTTCTTAAAAAATAGTTTCTTTTACTTCTAAATAAAACCAATATTGAAAATATATACATATTTCAGACACCTGTGTGTTTTAGAGAAGCTGAAAAGAGAGCTGAAACTTTTGTCTTTTGGTTAATATTTCTCAGGAAGCCCTTCCTATAAAATAGTCTAAAAGGTGTTAGTTGGAGTCTGTGGCTGCTCAGCAAAACCATTATAAAACATAATATTTGCAGTGTTATCACTGTTGAAAGTTGAATAAAATGATGATTCATAATTGATTCTTTCATTCAGAGGGTGGGAAAGCATTTTCCTAATGGTAGTCTGCATTTCTGGAGACAAACAGATGTCCCAGCAGCAGAAGCAGGCATCTCTCATTTAACTGCGTGGTTTATTTAATCTGTCAAAGAAGAAAGAATTTTGATTTTTATTTAACAAAATCAAATAATTATGCTGTGATAGGATGTTTTAACTCTAATACAACAAGGTGTTGCCTACAGGAAAATAAATCTGCAGTCAGCAAAAAATACCAGCTTCAGACTAATGAGCTAGAGAACCAAGGTTTTAAGTGTTAATTAGTAAATAGTTATTTTACTATATGTGTCTAATTTACTGTAGTAGATTAATTTATTTATTATTGCCATAAAGCAATAATAATAGTGTCCTTAGAAGCCCATGTTCTTTCATAAAAAAGTAAGAGAGACTTTGCAAAGTGCCTGCAGAAGTTTGGTGTTCCTCAGATCCCTTTGATTTTCAGTGCCTCTAGTCAGTGTCATTAATCTGACTGCCTTTGGAAAAAAACTGGACTTAGAGATATTGAGAAAGCTATTTAAGAAAGTGATTCTGGATATAGTTTGCAAGTCTTTGCAATAAGTCATTAATACTTCTTTTATTTCAGGACTCAGAATTTGACCCCTTGAAGTTCACCAGTGTCATTGAATGTGAGAATCCTAACAACGACTTAAGTAGGTTTCGAGGTTCCATGTGAGTATTTCATGTAATATCCTTTGGTATACACTCCCTTCCTCTAATACAGAACAAAATACATGCTGTTTTGGTTTGGTCTGAGTTATATAAGCTGTGTCATTGTCACTGCTGAATAACCTCTCCTCTGAGGGAGGTGGTGTAGTTATTAGCTTTGATTAGGTTACACTCCAGAATCAGTTTACACTCCAGAATGAGTGTATGAAGCAGTGTAGTTGCAGCCACTATTCTCCCTTTCCCTCCCCCCATGGATCGAAATAAGTCAATTTGGAAGTTGTAGGAAATAGAAAAGCAGTCCAACAGTTCAAGAGAGCCAACAAACAAGCACAATATGTTTTTCTCTTTTTATGACGATTTGTCTGTTTGATGTTTCTTTTAATATAAACGTCATTGAGGAAAATCAGGACATGAAACAGATATTTCTCCAGCTATGGCAATATTCCTTTCCTCATTCAGACCAGATAAAACAATTGGCTCATACAATGGGCATGCTTGTACGTTACCATGCAGAGTCACGTACAACCACTTAACAATTCTAAACAAACAGAGCTGCGTTAACTGGGTGCTCACCCCCAGCCAGTTTGTTCTGCTCAGAAATGAATGAGAAATGTTTTAGTATGCACACAGTGCTTTGCTTCTAATGTAGCCAGGACTATAGTGTGTGGACACACCAGCACTAGCAGTGACTTAAGAGATGCACTCTTGTGTTTTTCTAGAGTCTTTAACTTCATGCAACATGAAATCCTAGGAATGTTTTTTTGTTGTTGTTGTTGTTTTTGTCTACATTTTAATTAAAAGAGCTAAACAGACACTAATTCTTTTATAGAATACCGTAATTTATCACCTGGATTAGGAGTGATAAGCAGTATTGAATTGCGTAAATGGTATAAGGATTGAAAATTGCTGGGGCTTAGGGAGTTTTTTATAATGATGCAATTTACCAGCTCAGTTACTACTCTCAGATGTCACAAATTGTGTAGGATGTACTGTCAACTGGTGTGAATCAGGCTAGCTTTTTCAAAACTGCGTCAAGTTGTAGTGTGGGAAAATGTGTTCCTTTATTTAACAGCACAATGCCCTACAGTTCATGTAAAGATAAAAGTTTAGTATTAGACATTACTGTGTGAGAGTGTGGAACTGTCTACATTAATAGAGAACTTGCTGTACTCCAGAAATGACATTTCCAGATATAGAAATGGAAAGTTTGGCAGCTTATCTTGCACACTTCTTGTGTTTGAATCTCAGTTCCCAAATATTGAGCATAAGATCATAGAATGGTTGGGATTAAAAGACACATTTAAAGATCATCTAGTCCATGGACTAGGATATCTTTCACTAGGTCTGAACAGAGGTTGAATGCTACAGAACGCATGCATAAATTTGTCTTCAATTATGTATTTATTTATGTACTCCATGTGAAAAAGTTCAGTATCATGTAAGTTACAGAGCTGAGTTATGTAGCAAGTAACACACAGAATATTCTGGAAGGCTGTTTAACAAATGCACAGCAAAAAGTCAAGACATCATATGTGAATCTGAAAGAAAGCATAAGATGATTTCCAGGTCTCATCAACTGTGCTCCAAAACATTTACAACCAAAGGTCCATGGGACATTTGAAGGGAAGAGAGATCAACTGTCAACAAATAAACTCTCTAAGTTTGTCAGTGGATAGAGGGCTTTTTTTTCCCTTCTGTTTTTGATTTTCTTCATTAGTATCATGAAATCATGGCTACATTTCATGTTAGCAAGATGAATAGTAATTAGCACATCTAAATTGAGGCATGTAATTGCCGTGTCAAAATCAGATCTTAATTCAAAATCTTACCAGTGGTGACTGCTTGAAAGACAGATTCAGATAGCTCCTAGTTTAAAGTATCTCAACTGAAAAGAAATCCTACTAGGCTATTTAAATAAGTATGCTGTGAGGACAGTAGGTTTCTATTTTTAAAGAGGTGTATCTTTTCCTGTTTGAAATATAAAATATATCTAATGTTCTAATGTCTATGTAGACAATTTTTTAGAGAAATAGAAATGTTTGTGTGTGCATATTGTAAACTTTCTGAACTGTGATCACTATGGATAAGCAGTGTAGCACTGACAGCTCATAGTGAGAAAAGATACAATAATACAAACCAACAAAAATAGTGCAGAATGCATTGAGACAGGCCCAGCCCTATCCTGTGTCTACAAAATAGTATCATACACATTACTACATATAACTTGTGTAGTTACATTGTCATGACCTGCACTGAATGCACTCCCCGTGTGCAGATGGGCAGGGAGGCTGCCTCTCCTTAAGTGCTTGCTTCAGTACTGCCCTGCTGTTTCTGCACCCTTGTGTATCCCAAGCTATAAGAAATGTTCTGGGTAAAAAGAATAGAGTAAAACCTAACATGCCCTCTGCCTGCTTGGGTCTAGCCAGAGTATGTACAGTATGCACGGCAAACATTCAAAAATTCTGTACCAGCTTCCAAAAATAACAAAATTGGCCTTAAAATCTTGTTCCTACCTTTCTTATGTGTATATGTGCAAGGCAAAAGGGAAAGTCATAGTTTGCATTCCAACTTCTCAGCTTTTCTCTGAAAGGTAAAAGGCTTTTTTGCAAGAAAAGTAAAGAAACCTATATTTAACCATTCAGTATCAAAAGATTTGCTTGGAAAGTTCCAAAGGGAATGTGGGAAGGAAAAATAATAGCAATAATAGGAATCATAGAATCACAAGGTTGGAAACGACCTGTAAGATCATTTGGTCCAACCGTCTTCTCATTACCACTGCTACCACAAATTAAACCAGATCTCGTAGCTCCTCAGCCAGATGCCTCTTGAACACTGCCAGGGATGGCAACTCCACCACCTCCCTGGGCAGGCCATTCCAATGCCTGACCGTTTTTCCTCATGTCCAACCTAAACCTCCTCTGGTACAACTTGCAGCCATTTCCCTGGGTCCTGTTTGTTGCCTGGGAGAAGAGGCCAAACCCCTCCTCACCACAAGCTCCCTTCAGGAAGTTGTAGAGTGCAATGCCTGCATTTCTGTTTCAAAGCTTGACCTGAGTTTGCAAAGCCAAAATAATTTAAAATCACATTACAATCTTTTTAAGGAAAAAGTATATTAACTTACATGTCAGTGTCTCTCTGACAAGCTCTAGTGGTACAAAGTCCACAAGAATACACTTCAATCAGCACTGAGAGTCAGGAAGGTTCTTTTCAATGATGGCACTGAGGCCACCTTGAAGACTGCAGAGGTTTTCTTTGCGATTCTCAAGTGCTGGGAAGGAATGACAGCTCCACTACTTGCTTTGTAAGAAATCTGAGACACCAGGGAGGGAAAGAAAATACTGCCTTTTGATTACAGGATTGATAGGTCACCTTGCTATTTAGTGCCGGCTAAGTTCCAAGGGAAAACGTAACAGAAGGCTGATGTGAGCTGTCCTCAAATTGTATTTGAGTTCCTGTGTTAAACCAGGAGAGTTGTTTCTACAACAGCACATTGATTTCGTCCATGCTTCTTAAAGACTTGGTGAGGAACAGGTGATTTGGTCAACTTCATCTGGATATGAAAACATAAAAAGCAGTGCAAAGTGTGTGTGAGGATGGGCTGTGGTGAGAAGGTTCAGTGAGTGAAGGTGGTTGGCAGGTCTTGGCACCTCAGGGTTAACTTCAGGTGCTAACACCATTGCTATGGAGCAGGATCAGATGTGGTACAAGCTAAGCAAGAACAACTATCTCATTGTATAGAACAAGCACACAAGTAATCGTGCTGTCTACAATATGCCTATCACAGTCCACTGTTACAGTCAAGAACTGTAAAGAACTGATGAAGGCTATAAAATCATAAGCCAAAGCTATTACTTCCTGAGTAGATTTGTCTTTAACAAGTCCATTTATTAAAAGAATTCGTAAGTGTGGTTTGGAAACTGAATTAGGAACTCAAACTAACATCCATTTATGAGGAAGGAAGGCTAAAGCACGGTTCCATCTTGAAGAGCAAGAGGCAGAATCCCAGTAATAGGTATTTTGTGCACTATGGATTCATTACAAAATTAGTCCCCATGGTATAAGTCCAGCAAAATGTGGATAGTTCTCCAGCTGGTAATCAGTATTTACACCTATTGACATACAGCAGTCCCCAGTTCTTAAAGCTCTGTTGGCAAAAGGTGAAACAGTGAGTTACAGATATTTGCTGAACAAAACCTCTTCTCATATGCAAAGCCCATGGGGAGGTTGGGCTAAGCAGAAGTTTTCTCCTTATGAAATCCACTTTTTTTGTAGAAGTCACAGTTTTAAGCTAGATTGCAGATTTCAGGGGACAGTATTTTAAATGTTCAAAACCAGGTAGCCATAAAGTTTGGCATTACAACACTGTTAATTTAAGCATAAGAGATTGGGGTTTTTCAGGGTTTCTCTTAAACTCTGAGCTCTTGTTAGTTTCCTATTGCTGTTGGATTTTTTGGAATTTGGAAGTGTGGTGATTATGATACTCTGCGAGGGCAGAACACATTTCAGATTGCTTTCATCTGCTCTGAGGCACTAGTATACTACTGTTAAATTACATTTTATTCATGCAGAAGAGGTCTGAAATGATTATTTGGCTTGCCTTTCTTACCTAATAAAACATTTTAACCCTATGCTTTAATAGTCATTATTGTTCAGCAGTTAATTCTCATAAGGCTGTTTTCCACAGTTCTCAATCAATTGAAATTTGAGTCAGTCCGTACAGAGCAGACAATAAGAAGTTGTAATGAAAATGTAGCATTGTTCCATTCTTCTCATGCACTTTGGTGCATGCAGTCATCAGAGTGCATGCCATTTCATCTTTCTTACAGAGCAAGACACTTCTGAAAGCAGTCTCCCTTATTGATGAACTTTCAGAAATTTTTTCCTTTCTTTTTCACTAAACTGACTGATATGCACTATCCCTGGTATATCTTTCTTAGTGCCACTGTATCTGAAGCACTGCCCTTTCCCAGTTTCCCCATATTTCTTTGATAAAAACATATGAACGCTGTGTAAGCATTCTGCACACAACTGCTCCGTAGATGGATTGTGTTTACTGTGATTGCACACGCAGAATTTGTACATGCACAAAAAGTTTAATGCATTTTCAAAGCATAGAACTGGCTGTGTACTTGCTGTAGATTTGGCCTTCTTATCTCCAGTGAACATTTGACCAGTGCATTTGCATATCCCACAGCCTAGCCAGAGCAATTGGTAGTGCTCAGTTGCACTGCTGCATGTCTGGGATTCCTGGGTAGGGATTCTGTTTTCAAAGTCTGCGAGAGGATTGTCCCAGGAGGAAGATCTAAGGGAATATTTCACCGTCAGGTTGAGAAAACTTCTTAAACTCTGAAGATGTTTCCTTGGCTTGTTGTATTACAGAGTATGATTTAACAAGCTTAATGTTTTGACATGCTGTGCTTTGTTCTGCTTTTAAATTTTCTGCAGTGTACATAAAAGTGGAAAAAAGGATGGACTGTTCAAAGAAAATCTTTTGTTACGTGGATGTACTATTAGAAATACAGAAGAAGTTGTAGGAATTGTAATCTATGCAGGTAAAAGTTGCTTTTCTGTCTGAGCACACTTGCCTTTTTATAGTTTCCTTAAAATACACCCAGGAGTCCCTATTACATCATTTGACGCAATTGCTTTTGCAGGGCATGAGACCAAAGCTTTGTTAAATAATAATGGACCTCGTTATAAACGCAGTAAGCTTGAAAGACAGATGAATGCTGATGTCCTTTGGTGTATCCTTATACTTCTCATCATGTGTCTGTTTTCTGCCATTGGTAAGTGCTCTTTAAAAATAGAAACTTAACTATCAGACTCTCTTGAGATTCACGTGCTTAGCTTCAGCAAAAACATGTGTATCTGCAGAAACATAAAATCCATATAACTGCTTTATTACATTTTTTTCCTTGAAATGATTATGTTTTAATACACAGAGTTGTCTAAATGGATTCTTAGTTTCAATCAAGCATAAATCATTAATATCGGAGATCCAAATGCATAGATTCTATCACTTCCAAAAATGACAAGTCCAAAAGAAGCCACTTTATAGGCAGTGACCTCAAAATTACAGGTAGTAGAGTATAACATGCCTTAATCAGCAAACAGATCAATTTATGACCAGAGAGTAAACATAATTAGCACAGGGCTGTGCCCCAGTACTGTCTATTAACTCAAGGCTGCAGCTTTGAAACTGATGAAATACGTAAATGTCTAAATCTTCATAAATCCAACTAGAAGATCCTCTGGACTTTCTGAAGTGTTTAAGGAAATACTGAGCTTAATACTCTTCAGGCTTTTTTTTTCTTTGTTTGTGAGAAGGAAATGAATTTCTTATTATCTGGCATCTAAAATGATTGTTAATATATTGCATATGAATTCCATATCCCTAACGTTTGTGTGTTCTCTTGTGTTTGTGTGTGAGTCATGCATCGGAAACATTAGAATGTTTCCTAACAACCACAGTGTAGTTTAATAACAGTCTTATGCCATTTTAATAAATCTCAGCATGCCTTTTTCCAGGTATTGTCAAATAGTGCTTAAAGATGAGTTTTTTCCAGCTGTGAATCAGTCCTCGTATTTGTTTCCGCTGAGTTCATGACACTTTGGTGTAGCATCTCAGTGTGGGGGAGCCCTGTCCTCGAGGTTCTGTTGAAGTGCTGCAGTACCTTAATTGGAGGGAGGCTTAATTGCAGGGAGTCCCTGCCTTCAGCTGTCCCATCCACCACCACAGGACAAGCGATGCCCCAATCAGTAGTAGCAGGCTGTGTTGCTTTGTGACTCCACTGGGCTGTGGGAGTGTAAATATGAATAGGTGGGCACACAGTAGGTGGCACATCTGATGTCTACTCTGTCACTTCTGCTCCAAGGACAGAAACCACCAGCAGAGGGCCAAAGCAAAGTGCAGGAAGTGATAACCACCATGCACAGCTGGAAGCAAATTTGGTTGAGCAGTTCAAAACCAGAGCTGACTGGTGCTGCACACATGCAAAACTGTGTTCTCTGAAAGTCAAGTGAATCTTATATCTTCTATTGAGACATTATAAGTGGAGGGAATCTGAGTCAAGTTATTTATAAAACAAGTTATGATGTAGGTCATTCTAGGTTTGGGAGTACAATCAAGAATAGAAGTACAGACATCAGTAGGAGGATATTGGAAGTACTGAGACAAAATAATTTGCTTATTTGGCTTAAATATTGCTTGTATTTTTCAGAAGTTCAATGCTGTTTTATTGTATCAGGATGTAAAGGCAAATTTACATCTAGACAGATAACGGCTTTCAAAAAATTAATTTTAAAATAGGCTTTTGTCCTCTTTTATTGTTTTCTGACGTGTAATTAAAATAATATGAATACTTCTTATGGTGGTGAAATTCATCCTTGATTTTAACCTTACAAACATCAGACATCTGTTTTAGGTCTCTCCTCCATCTTTCAGAAGAAACTAGCTGCAAATCCTAGCACTATTCTTAAAAAGACAACCTTCTGTTTTTAACAAGAGTGTATTTTTCCCAAAATAATAATATCCTCATATTTATTTAACTATCATCATGATCAGTAACAAAAGGTTTTAAGCAAAGCTTAATTTTTTTCCTGTTCTTCATTCCTCAGCTTCCCTGCTGTTGTCTGTGCTGCTACTCTTAGCCTGAACTACTGTTTTACACTAGCCAGATTGCTTTATTTGGGTAAAGTTTATCCAGAAGGTGACTCGTAGATGCTGTCCTTAAGACCAGATAAATGCCTTTCCTAAGCTCTAAGTTCTACTGGGAAAAAAAAAAAAAAGTAGGTTTTGTGAATCTCTTTCAAGTCATACTGAATAGTTGAAAACAAGTATCAATTTCCTATGTAACTCTTCTCTGAGGACCAGTTTATATTATATACCTTTATATCTTGGAGTTACTGTAGACTTTTCTCTCTTTCAACTCTTCTGCAGGTCACGGGCTGTGGGTATGGCAATACGGTGAGAAGAAGAAACCAGTTTTTGATGTTCCAGGACCTGATGGCAAATATTTGTCTCCTGTTCTAGCTTCAGTGTATTTATTTCTGACAGCAATCATAGTTTTTCAGGTATTCAAGTTGTGCATAATGCCACTCGTATTTATGATTTTCTATTTATGTGCGGGGTGTGTAGTACCCCTTCTACCACTAAGGCATCTGAGAAGATAATCAAGAAGTAGAAATGTATTTAGACACTTCAAATTTTAAATATAGAGAATGCGACGATAAACAGAAATCTAAATGAAAGAAAGTAAATGGTCTACTCACTGATGAAAAGTGAAAATTTTCTTGAAAACAAACACACTGATCACACAGTAAGGTCTCAGAGCTACATTGGCCTTGGAGAAGAAAAACACGTGAAAACTAACCTTCCCTAAAAGACTCAGGTGTTCTATTTTATTTTAAACAAGTAGGAAGAAATAGGATTCACCTGAAAGAAAACAGGCTTCATGCTTCATATCCACCCACTGTGAAACACATCAAAGATGTGGGGTACCACTTTGAGTATGATATGAACATAAGTTATATACATTTTTAACCACTTCCAGAAAATGTGGTTCTTAACAATTCTGTGTCAATGTGAACAAACATCTGCAGGCTAAAACTGAGATGCAAATTAGATATTTCATGGAGTTTTGACAAACCTTAAGAAACAGCTGGAAATCCTTTCTGGAGAAACTTCTCATATCTCTTTCTTCTGAAATTATTTTTTTTCTTCATTCATTTAATCTGCAGTGCAGATGCCAAGGCTAAAGAAATCATTCCTATGGAAAGCTTTACATATCTCATTCTGTTTTTTTGTTGCTGCTAAGGGAATTTGTAAGCAGCATATTATTTATGCAGAATAAATTCATCCTATTCTTCAAGTGCAAAACACACTTACAGGATTCTGACTGCACTGTCTTTTTGTTTTGCTTTGTTATGTTTTCCTGGCTAGTTTCAAGCATATCTTATTAGCCCAGAAAAGTTCAATTTCTGTCCAAGTTTTGATAATCACTCTTCCAGACATAACAATGAATTCAGCTTTGCAATTCATGACGTTTTCCTAATCTGACACAGCAAATAGACTATTTTCAAATGTGCTGATAGCTTCACAGTAGACATTTAAAGTACATAGCCTCTTTGCGTTCTAGACTACTGTCAAATTAGATTTTTACTAATTCAGTCTGTTTTCTCCTAATTCATTTTATTTTTGTGTGTTATAGGTTATGATTCCAATTTCTTTGTATGTTTCCATTGAAATAGTTAAAATCTGCCAAGTGTACTTTATTCATCAAGATAAAGATTTATATGATGAAGAAACAGACTCTCAGCTGCAGTGCCGAGCTTTAAATATCACAGAAGACTTAGGTCAGGTGCAGTTTATCTTTTCAGACAAGACTGGGACGCTTACTGAAAATAAGATGGTTTTCCGAAGATGCACAGTTTCTGGAATAGAGTATTCCCACGATGATAATGGTGAGCTCATGATCTTGTTTTATATCTAACTGCTGTACTTTGGTGAAATGTGAAGTAGATTAAAAAATTGCTGTAATCTTAAATCAGAAAGAAAAACAAAAGAAATTGCATGTATCCACTCAGTAGACTCCATAATAACTGTTTTCGTGTTATTATAATTTGATGACTTTTTCAGCTAGTAAAGACAGTCTTTTCAGAATGTTCTCTAACATTGACAGCATGTTGTCAAGACTGTTAGGGCTTCAAGCTTTAGCTTCTGGTCTAGTAAAGCACTTCAGCACATGGCTAATTTAAGCAAATTGGATAGTATCACCAATGCACAACTGATTGTGTGTTTGAAGTGTACAATGCAAAGTACCAGCTTTAAGCATGCAGCCAGATAGGTCTCAGATTGAATAGCTAGAATAAGAAAACATCATAACATAACAAAACATAAACAAGTCTACTGGCTTTCATATTCACAGGAAACATAATCTGATCTGATAGCATATTTTATGTTACTTTTATCAGGTTCTTTTCAGTGTTCCTGTGTATGTGACAGGTGTCTGCATTAAGGTGTCTCCATTGCAGTTGACAGACTGTGCCCAAGTGTCAGCATTATACACTGAAAATTCACTTTTGGTCACAAAGGAAAATGGGGATTGTCATCTCTGTGTCATCTCATCACCCTATCAAAATAATGAAGTGATTTCCTGTTTTTTGAGTTGTTTACAGTTAGTGTCAAGCTTTTTTTTCTCTGACGTTTTATTGTTACTGTTTTTTTACATAACAGATTTTAATTCTTCAAATCATATTCCATCTATGTATCAGAAAATATCAATAGCTATAGTATTGCATTCTTAATTGCAAAAATTAGATTTCCTAGCAGAACATTACAAATCACTGCTTTAAAATTTTTTCTTGAAAGCCATTACAGAAGTTCAGCTTGCAAAAGAAGATATGGAATAAGAGAAATAATCAAAATAGACTGGAAAAAATCTAAAAACTTTTTAAGATTCCAAGATGATAAATAATATTTTGAAGCTTTGGATTATGCAACAATTGTTCTTTTTTGCTCTTAGTTTAAAGTAGTACACTACTTCATTGTGCACTCTTCTTCAGAAAAAACAGGGTGTTTGGGTAGTCTTATTATCCCAGTGTTAGAGAAATAAGAATTAAAATAGAGAAGACTTCCTGCCTCTGTACTGTAGGTAAGAAAGAAAGGAGAGTTAGTATTAAGAGTATGTGTCTGGACTCCTAGTTGTGATCTCAGTACTCCATGTTCATTCTTTTTTTCCTTTGCCATTGATTGTTTGCTTGTTTGTTCTAATTTCAGAATGCAGGAATGATGATGGTACTGCCAACTAAAACAGTGCTGAAAGTGTATTTTTATGTGTTGAATAGCATCAGTGGAGGCTGAGCTCAGGCTCTTGAATTTGAGGCTCAACTTTCAGATCTTCTTTTTCTCAAATGTAATGCATTTAACAGAAATCTAAGTTTATGTATGCTTTCATTTTATTATTTGAGGTTACAGTAAAAGTGTTTGCAAAAGCAGTTCACTACAAACAAAAGAATAAATTAAGCACCTAAATAAACTAAAGTAATTCTTTTTTTCTGTCATTCCTTTCACTTACTCCTGTGTTTAGGCTACTTCTAAATTCAGTTGGTATAAAATCGCAGACATGAAGGAATTTTAAAAATGATATTTTATTTACACAAGGCATTCTAAACTTTATTTCTTCTCCTCTACAGAAAATAGAACTTTCTCAGTCATTTTATGCATAAATAGTGATCATTTTTACTGCTTTTGTTCCTTATAATCAAGAAATTAAAAATTATTCTTCATTCAGGCTTCATTTAAGCTGCTTGCCAGTCAGATTTTCTAACTGTATCTTAACTTCTCTGTTGTTGAAATCTTTTTGTTTAGATAGATAAGATGCTTACCACAGCTCATTCTTTTATAAGAGGTGCATCAATAACATTTCATTGCTCTGTGCTTAATTGCAAATTATTTGTTAGCTGATTTTCAGTGTTTATACTTGTGTATCTGAATTCCCCTCTGAGGTTTTGGGATATATAACTGTTGGATGCCTTCCAGCTTCCCTCCTGAGACTTTACTGAAGACTACATGAGTTAGGAAATTCTAAACACTTTGATTTGGTAGGTGATATGGCACTGCCATATATGCAAGAAAACCTAATAAAATGCATCTACCTTTTCTCGTCCACTTCAGTGATAATCTGGGTCTTTCTTTGCTTATCTGAATGTTATTCAGGCATTGTGATTTGTTACTTGGAATCAAACTCTTCTTTCAGTCTTTCAGATGAAGGATTGTATTTAAAATTTTCCTACATAGGTCAAGATACAAAAGCTGAAGATAACAAGTCATTTTCTACTATAAAAGAGATTATGGAAATACACTTGTTCAGAGCTCTTTGGCTTAAGTTTGTTATTCTGCTGTGGCTGGGTAGCAGTGCCTGTTATTACAGTTGCTTGATCCTTCCCATGATAAGATCCTTTTTTCAGCTACGGATAGTTTTACAAACCTTTTAACTATTTGGTTAAAGTTTCCCATGCCAGATGTCTGCCTCAGGCATGAAGTCTGGGGGAGTAATTTCAGTCAGAACAGTTCCATTCAGGAACAAAACTAAAATGTAGTGCATTTTTTCCCATGCTAAGAAGTTCTGACAAATTTTACTCCAAAGTTATCTAGAGCCCCTATATTCTGAAGTTCAGCTATGCATACACAGTAAGGGGGAACTCATACCTAGAGTGGCAGATTCATGTCTAAAATTTCCACACTTTGGAACTTCAGTTTTCTGCTGAAATATTTTTTCTGCGTAATCTAGGACTGCTATATATCTGTTAATTACTCAATGAGCAGATTGTGCATAGTCTTCACAAATTTTATGCATGCTGCACTGTAAGCTTTTCTCCTAAAATTTGTTCAGTTATGATCAGTTATGCCATTCTTTTCTGTCCTGCAGGCATTGTTATCCTGCAGTTGTCATCATCATATCTGAGTTCTTGCCACTAATGTGTCAAGCAATATGTGACACTCATGATGTGTAGCTTCTTCTTTCCTCTTTTTCCTATCCCTATATGCACAGCATGCAATTTGTTTGGGTGTGGGGACTCCTTTAAAAGTGTACACTGTGCTGTGTTAAAATTGACATTTGGGGAGGCATGTCTTTTCTTCTTTTTTTGAGTGGTGGCAGTGTTCTTATTTTCTCTGAAATTTTCTTCCGCGGTATCATATTAATTTACCATGTAAAAGGTGAGCTTGATGATTATGGAGACGTGTTCTGCTTTGTAACAAAAGCAGGCATATTAACTATGGTTTTCATCACAGAATCCCATGTGGACCTCCTGCAGGGCTGAAGCAATTAAATGTTTCTAAAAGAAAACACAAAATCCTGAAAAAGACAATACATTTTCTAGGCAGTGTAGAGAGCAAGCAGCAGTTTTGTAATTTGCTGGAGAAGACATTTTCTTGCAGAATTCTGTATTGGCTCTAAGTTTCTTACAGGGCTAGTGGCACTGCGCCTAGGAATATTGCATTGTTTTAGTCTAGACAAGAGGTGACAAAAATATGAATAATAGAGACCAATAAATTCCACCAGCATGGGACAGAATCTCCTAGCCAACTGGAGGTAGTACAGACTATTACTCATGGTACTTCTATGTGAGAGCTTAGCACCAAACGGGATCCAAATACAGTTGTGAAAGCTGTGAGGGAAGGTGTGAGTGTGCTTAGCAACTGTTCCATGATGCAAGCTCTATCAAATACACATCACTGTTGAGTGCACCTGTAATAGTCTGGTATAGATTATGAAAAGATTAGGATTAAACTGATCAGTGGGCCTTCTGGACACAGTGTTGACAGAGGTGGGATTTTTGTTACCTACTTGAGATATTTATGTAGAAAATAGTCACCTAGTAATTTCACAGTTAATAGTTCATCAAATTTGTTTTACACACCTATATTTATTGTCTGTTAGATGACTGTTTCTCTGTGGTTTAGAATTCCAGATACAGAAGAAGAGAATTCCCATCACATATCTAGATTACATGTTCTCTTAAATCAATTTAGTTCTTGAATTAGAGTGAGTTAATTAAGAGCAGGATATATCATGGACTATTCCAAGTGGAAAAATGAGTGTCTCATTCATAAATGTCCTCAGCATTTATAGAATACCCATTGGCACTATGCTCTGGTTAAATCCCAGGAATTGATGGAGTTACTTCTATCTTAAAGAGAACACCTTGCTGTATGTTGCTTTCACAGTCAGTGATGCTGCAAAGGTGTACCAGATCACACCAAAAAAAAAAAAAAAAAAAAAAGTTCTTCTAATCAGTATTTCCTCATAGCCCAAAAGAACGTGGACACAAAAAAACCCAAGAACTTATTGTCCTATATGTAAAACTACATTGCCATACCACTGCTTTTCCTTTCAGGCTAGTAGCCAGCTTCTAACAGTTCTAGAAATTGGACATGCCCCAAGTCTATCTGCTGATTCCAGAGAGAGTAGGTGCCCAAAAGCTGACTGTGCTTGTGAAAGTCGTTATATGATTTAGCTACAACCAGATGCTCTTGGCCTGACATTTGTCCTAGATATTTTCCAAATGCTAAATGAATTGTCTGTTGTCTATGGGGTGTGATCTCTGTTTTTCTAGTTTTAGCCACCCATTGTATGGAACTTCTGACAACACACAAGTTGAACCTCCGTGAATGCAACCACACAGATCTGAAAAAACTAAATATTTTCATTCTTTGCATTTTTTCTCTTTCCTTCCAATGACTGAAAAAAACTCTAGAGAACCAAATAAAAGGATAATTTTATGGTAGTGAAGGCAAACGCTGAAAACCCCAGTGATTTTTCCTTGGCTAGCCAAGTTTCTTAGTCACTGCATTCAAGAAAGAAAGAGTTCTCTTCCTCACTCTATGTTTTCATGCTAAAGATTGGCCAGCAACTACTTTTCACTGGAAAGTGCATTATGTGGAAAAATCTTTTTCTTAGTTTGAGGGGCTGTATCATGGTGAAACTTTGTTGTTCATTTTGTACATAACCAAAAGACATAACCACATCAGAAAATTGAATTTACTAAAAAAAAAAGCATAAAAATGGGTAAAACCTTTTCCCTAAATGTGTCTGGTTCTTCCAGAGGAATGGCTTATCTGCCTTTCTTTTCCATCTGACAACCTTCAGAAATCAGGAGGGTCCTTTTAGCTCTTCTCCAGAAAGATTGAAGCAATCAAAGAACAGGCGCTCTGTATAGCTTGTTTGTAGTTTCTCTTTACATTTATTATTGCTTTCTGAAAAAAAAAATTATTGAAGAATGTGGACAGAAACAGGAAATGTAGAACTGAATACACTGGGAGTGTTGTATTTTGAACTCCTAAACAATAACTAATGATGGAGAGATTAGAGACAGGTAATAATTTCCTCTGAGCATGTATGCGTGAGTATAGGTATGCCTGCACTCAAAATTGCTCTGGAAAATCTCTAGGTGGATAGAAAGAATCTCCATTTCTAAGTGGAGTGAGGAGTTCAGGATGAAAGACTTCAATGTATTCTTTTCATACCCATGCGGTTGCCAAGAGTAGAGAGGATGGAAAATCTTCATGTTTTCTAGTCTCAGGACTTGTTTTTATGGGGAAGCTTTTGGAAAGTAAGTTACATTAGCACAGTCATACAAATTTTTTGCATGCTAGCTGCTTGTCTCAGGGTTTTTTTAGACACTAGAGAGAACTTCAAAGCAAAATAAGCTTGCACTCATAAAATCATTAGGAAATAACATAGTGTGAAGGCATCTAGTCTTACTTCATGATAACTCAGTAGCATTCTTATCCAAATGATTGGGGATACATGGTGCTATTCCATAGGAAAATCAGGACCCGCACACTGACAGCTGAATTAGTCTGGTTTAAGGGGTCTGCAGTTTTATTCTGTCCAGAACAAATTATTTTATAGTTTCCTGGTCACATTTCTCTACTTAACTAAACATCTATCTGCATAGCAGTGATGCTTCCGTCAGCCTCTAAGATGGATGCCTCATAGCAGAACATAGCATGGAAGGTAACTTATGAGACAACTGAAGAAGATAATTAAAAAAAAAAAAGAGAGATTTTAACACAGAAAAAATAAAAGATTATCTTAAAATACATACCAGAAGCTATAGGAGTTTTAGTGACAGTTTACTGCTGTCTTCTGAAAGATGGAAGAGTCCATGGAATAAGTATTAATTATCCTTTCTTCTTTGTGCTGTAAATATCAAGTGAACGAGGGGACACTTAAGTTAGACTTCCATGCATTGCATTGCGTGTTTTGCAAAGTGTTTGTGTCTCTGCCTTTAGTAGGAAACTCTCTATCAGAGGAAAGATCAAGGCCATGAATTTTCATTGCTGAAGCTGAAAAGCATCTCACAACAATGTCTTTCAGGTTATAATATTCATAGGGAAAGGTTCTGAATTTGAGAGGGCTGAGTGGGTGGCGAGAACAGAATGTTCCCCAAGAAGCACGCTTCGCACAGTTAAAGCATTATGAACCTTAGCCATAACATAACAATCACACTGTGTTTCATTATTTCTTCAACTTCTTAGTTTTTGTTGTATAATATGTTAAGACTGCACTCCAGAAAATGTTGAAAGGTTCTGTGGCCTTTTTTTTATACAAGCTTACCTTGGTATAGAATGGAAATAATACCCTTTATATTAAGCAAGCTACATTTGACTTGGTTAAATGAGATTCTGGTCTTGTATCTTTCTCTTTTTCTCTTTTTTTTTTTTCCTCACTGCAGCAACAATTAAATGAATGTGCTACAATGAAAATCTGCATAGAGAACAAAGCATAGCTTAAAGATACACAGACAGATTAGAGTGTGTACCAATTCACTATTGGTATAATGCTAATAAAAAAGGCACACACTGCATTAGGAACCAGTTTCTCCTGTGTTGACTAAACGAAATATTTTTGGATGTAATGTAAGAGCAGTGAAGAATACAGATATATGGTATGCAGACATAAATGTGTATTATGCATGAAATGCATTCTCTGCTTAACCCTATTATTTTTGTTTGTAACACGCAGCCATAGTTGGTTCATCTTCAGAGTCATGTATTTCAACACATGTTTCTGGAGCAGAAGCTTAAATTAGATATGATTACTAAAGAAGACGTGTGGCCTTTTTTCTGACAATTCTGCATGGAAAAGAATTTGACCAACTGGGTAGCACCTTTTGCAAAGCTGGAAAGAATAATTGTACCCAGTTCTTTCCCTGCTAAGGAGTATTCCCTCTTTTGGCAAGGAGTGCTGCATTCTCTCAGTCTGCCATTCAGATGCCCACATCTGGAGTGGGAAGGGTTATCCCTGTAGCAAATCCAAGCTTTAACTGTGCTTTACCTGTCCACATGACACCAACTCTCCTTGAGACTGGGTTTGCTGAGGAGGCACTGGAATGTGCTTATGATTGATTTAGATCTCAAGTATTGCTAATTGCTTAAGTCCTCAGTGGTATGTCATCCTGAGCAGTGCTTTTTGAACCTAGGACTTGCAGAATGGAGCCTATTATCATGCAACACAAAGGCCAAGGAGACCAGTGACAACCCTAGTTTTTTGAGCTATCTTCTAGATTCTGCTATCTGCGTCACAGTACACAGGAGGCACTGAAAGGAGAAGCTAGTGGTGCTGTGCTCTTCTATTTGCAGCTGTGTGCCTCTCTGAACAACTGTGTAGTTTGCTGGGAACCTCTTCCAGCTCCTGCATTTCAGACTAAATGGATGTTCCAAATAGATGTGAAAAAGCCTCCAATATATGATTCTGCACAGGTAGACCTATTACCATAAAGTGTGTGCGATCCGATTTCAGCTCCTCCTGCTGCTTTCTGACAGTTAAAACATGTTTGAAAGTTACAGCAGATGGTGAGGATGGTTTTTTCTTTGATCATAAAGCAAGCCCCATTAAAACGATCATGTATTGAACTTACTGTATATGATACAAGATTTTTCTTGGGAATATGTTTTGAAAGAAAAATCTTCATGGGCAATTTTTCCTGCAGAATGCCTGAATAGTTGACATACATGCTAATGATCTATCATTTGACATTAGGAAGATTTAATTTGTTATAACATGGAACTGAAAGAGGGCAGAGCCAAAAGTATATAACATGCATTGTACCTCTGCACAGTGTGGATTATTTTGAGAATATAATGAAAAGCTTATTCATGAATGCCTAATGAGGGAATAGATACCTGTTAAAGTGACACGCGCCTGTTTAATGAATGACACAGGCTATTAAGTGCCCATGATCTTTAGGAATGGAAAAATACATTATGTATCAGTTAGAACTGAATGGAATCTGTTGTTAGATGGGCTGGATTCAGGTCTGTTTTGCACTTCTCATTCTTTTAAATTTTTAACTTCTGCATATCAGACTGCCCAGATTCATTTCTAACTGTAATTGTTCTACTTGGAGTCTTCATTAGCCAAGTTCTCCACTATAATATATAATTTGAAAAAACAGGTTCATTCTGTTCACACAGTCTGATATTGATAGGACAAAGGGAAACAGTTTTAAACTAAAGAGGGGAGATTTGTATTGGATACAAGAGCTAAGTGGTGAGGCACTGACACAGGTTGCCTGGAGAAGCTATGGATGCCCCATCCTTGGAGGTGTTCAAGGCCAGCATGGATGTGGCCCTGGGCAGCCTGATCTAGTGCCTGATTTAGTGGTTGGCAACCACTAAATTCCAATGCAGCAGCGGCATTGGAACTATGTTATTTTTGAGTTTCTTTGCAACCTAAGCCGTTCTCTGATTCTATGTAGAAGAGGAGTGGTGCACTGCACAATAAGCATTGTACCACAGGCAGCATTGCTCTGCCTGTCAGACTGGTCCCAGAAGAGGAGACAGACCCCAGGCTGGGGTTTGGTTGATTTCATCAAGCTGAACTATGGAATAGCCATCAGGAGTGCAGTGTGTTAACACAGAGTCTCTCAGTCAGCTGCCTCTCAGTCTCATGATGAGGAAGGCAGTGCATTACATTATATTCCTAATTATGTTGTCTGCACCCTCCATTAGAAGGTACCATGTAGTTAAGACTAGATGTAATCCCCTGTTATTCCCTGTAATGGAATCATTCAGTCTTGCTCCGAAGGCATAAGAGTAAAACCAGAACACTTCAGTGAAGTCAGCACGTCCCTTTTCCCTCTTTCTCAGCAACATTTAACCCAGGAGCTCTCTTTGAAAGGATTGATAACTGCAGAACAAGGAGAAATGGTTTTAAGTTGAGGGAGGGGAGATTTAGGTTGGATGTCAGGGGGAAGTTCTTTACTATGAGAGTGGTGAGGTACTGGAACAGGCTGCCCAGAGAGGTTGTGGATGCCCCATCCCTGGAGGTGTTCTAGGCCAGATTGGATGGGGCTCTGGGCAGCCTGGTGTAGCATTAAATGAGGAGGTTGGTGGCCCTGCATGTGGCAGGGGGGTTGGAGATTCATGATCCTTGAGGTCGCTTCCAACCCTGGCCATTCTGTGATTCTGTGATTCTGTGATATGCAACCTTTCTCCCTTTGTATTTTTATTGATAGCCAAACGCTTAGCGATGTACCAAGAACCTGATTCTGAGGAAGAGGAAGCAGCTCCAAAAGGAGGAACTTTATCACAGCGTGACAGTATCTGCAGCCACCAGAGCATCAAAGTAATTCACAGAAGCCAGAGCACCAAAACCCACCGCCGCACAGGAAGCAGAGCTGAAGCAAAAAGAGCAAGCATACTGTCGAAGCATACTGCGTTCAGTAGCCCAATGGTAAGTCGTGAGAATTAAGTGCACACTGTCCTATATCTTTTAACAGAGTGATGTCCTGAAGAGATAAAGAAATCTGTACTACATTGCGTACCACTCAGATTTCATCTTGGCATTTTTTCTTCTGCAAATGTGTTTCAGAAAAAGAAGAAAACTTTACATTTCAAAACGTTGATGAATGTATGCCCCTACAACTTTGCTTTGATTAATTTATTTTATGATATTATTGGAAGTTTTACGTGAGTTAAGTCGTATTAAGAGAGCAGAGAAACCAAGTCTTGTCTACAAAGGGATTTTTTGTTGTCTTTTTGACATAAGCGCACCCTCAAAATAAACTACAAATACAAGCAAAGAAAGAAGCTGCTTGCACTGGTTGAACTTCTGAGTTTAGTCAGGAGTAAGTTCTTTCAGTACAACTTGAAGCTACACTTCATAAACATACAGTTCAGTGGTTGCTCAGACTCATCAGCTCCTGAACATCAGCAGATAAAATAAAATTCTACTGAAGAAAGAACCTGACTTCAGTTTATCTTTAAGTACTTTATATCTTAGCATCTTGGTATCTTAAGAAATACCAGAATTTGCTCTGACAAGAAATAGATCAAAGAAGTAGAAAGTGCTGATGAAATAGAGTTGAGAGTGCTGCTTTAGCATAAAAGGCAAGTGAATTGCTCTCAAATGTGTGAATAGTTGTTCTCTAACAAACCATGCAGAATGTTCTCACTGGACTGGGGGGTGTGAGGAATAGTAGTATGTAACTCTTCCCCTGTTCACTACTCCCAAAGTAGATAAATGTTGCCAGTATAACGGTAGTGAAAAAGCTGACAGCACAATTACTCACATTTCCATTTCTATTAGCATCCTCATTGATAAGAGTACATTTTCTACGATGCATGAGTTACAGTCCTCTTCATCTCAGCCCTGTGGTATGAGGCCTTCATAAAACTCTTGGTATTGACATTGCTTTGGGCACTTTGATTGCTTGATGCTACTTTGCAGAATCACTGATATTAGTCACTGCTTTTTATTGTTAGGAGAAGGACATCACACCAGATCCTAGCTTGTTAGAAAAGGTGAATGAATGTGCAAAGCATCTGGAGATCATGAGGGGCCACGAACAGCCATTATCACATCTGAGTCCAGAACTGTGTGATATTTTTGACTTCTTCATTGCTTTGACTATCTGTAATACTGTTGTGGTTACTGCTCCAAATCAGCCCCGACAGAAGGTAGGTTAAAGGAACAGCAAAATAGAGTTTAAGGTTTTGTTTGTATTTATACTAATTTATCTCATAAGTTGGGGAACTGAGAATGGCCTGTTCTAGTGAGAAATAACTGGAAACTAAATGTGAGACAACTCTTAGAACTGCATTGTGAATGGACAGATTCAGTCAAGCATTAGTTAAATGGAACATGTCATTTACCTTCAGGGTAAGACATGCTTTTGTCTGCAATTTTAAGATACTAATGAAAAATTCCTGAGTTCTTGTAATATAATTTAATTGATAAATGTGTGTATATATATGTGTATGTACATACATCTGCATGTAAGTATGTATGTAAGTATGCAAGTCTGTGTGGAAACTGATTTATATTTTGCAAGACTTATCAAAAAAGAGCATAAGCTGTGTGTAAATTTTGTAAATGTGAATTAAAGTAAGAATAGGGTCAGATGTTTTTTAGAAAAGAAAATATACTTGAGAAACATTGCACAAGTCTTTCACATTGTCTAAAAGATGTGTCAAGCTCACAGAAATAATGATCATTACTGCTTGAATCAACCTAAACTAAATGAATGAGAATTTCAACAATAGAATCCCAAGACAAAACTATAGTAGAACATAATATTAAAGCTAGCCTACAGATTGAATTTCCATTCTGGAGAGAATTCTGAGATTTATTTCTTTTCCAAATAGGAATAAGAAGTGAAGTAGTCTGCAAAATCAGATTTTAAATGAGGTAAATGATAAAACTGAAGCAAACTGAATCCAAAAGAGAAGACAATGGAAGTTATTTATATCAGCATGTTGCTGCCGAAGGCACCATTGACACTGGCCTATTCCCCTAAAACTTTTTTGGTATCACACTTCTCAGTACAAAATTCTTGCATTAAAATGTTTTTTACTGCCTTCACTGAATATGCACAAAGAATGGCAGTAGCCTTTCAGAATGTACTATGGTGGTGGTCCAACATCAATAGTCTATCCATTAGGCCTATCTGAAGAAGTGAAAGAAGTAAAAATAATTTTAATACAAGCATACGTACTTTCATGCAGAGACACAATCTGAAGTTCTAGGTCTTGTTGGGTTTTTTTTTGCTATTGAGTCCATTTACTTTCTCTTCTCAAATTGCAAGTGCCATTACTTTTTGCTCACAAAGAAATTCTGTTCTTAAGTTGGAGCTACTTAGGCTGAATGTCTACATTCAGTGTCTAAATTCTTATAGAGCTTTCCTTCAGGTTTTGTTTTCTTCATTGTCTTGTTTAATTCTTCTCAAGGTTAGAGACCGATTTGAACTAAAATCTCCTGTAAAAACCATAGAAGACTTCATCCGAAGACTCACTCCAAGTCGCTTGACCTCTGGATCTAACAGCAGCAGTTCATCCAGCCTAGCTACAAACAAATCAATGCATAGATTTGGTTTAAGTATACTTTCATCAACATCTACTGAGAGCACTTTATTAAAACTGGAAGAGAAGCTGGCATACTCTGCACAGATGAATAACAATGGCTACAGCTCCCAGCAAGGCAGGATGGCTGTCGGGAGCGGGCCTGAGGAAGGAGAGCTCCGTTATGAAGCAGAGAGTCCAGACGAAGCTGCTCTCGTCTATGCAGCAAGGGCATATAACTGTTCTCTGGTTGGAAGGCTGTCTGACCAGGTATCAGTGGAGCTACCTCACCTGGGAACATTAAACTTTGAAGTATTACATACATTGGGCTTTGATTCCATCAGGAAGAGGATGTCAGTAGTGGTCAGACATCCTCTCACGGATGAAATAAATGTTTACACTAAAGGAGCAGATTCAGTTATTATGGATCTCCTTCTGCCTTGTTCTTCAGGTACACCTCTTAGCTTTGTAAGAGTGGGGGTGTGGGGAGGCGGTTCTCCTTAATTGCTGAAAGATCATGTCTTGCTGCCTTTCCTAGCAAGCAGATCTGCCTGCTTTTGTTGTGAGTACATGAAATGGTAGAAAGGCAGCCATCTCTCTTCTTTTATAGAACTTCATTGTTATGAAGCAAATCTTCTGTAACTAATGAATGGTTCTTTGCCTTACAAGAATTAATTACATCAATTTCTGTACAGGAACTTTTACTAGCAAACTTTATTTTGAATGTATTTCCTGAGAGTCTCCCGAAACAATTTACATTTCTTGAGGAGAACATGCCCAGCAGTGCATAGCTATTTCAGTATTTTATGTGAAACTCAATCAGTTCCTACTCCAGCTCCCTTATCTGTTTCACCTATGAATCTTTACTTGCTTTTGTAGTAACTTATTTGCATACGTCGGCATATTTATGTTGCATTTGACTGTGGTGCTAAAGGGCAGTGTGAATCAATCAGCCATTGGAACAGAAAGGTAGTGGCAAAATAAGGAAAGAATCTGTTCATTTGAGAAATCTTAAATTGTGTTAGGGAATAGCTAATTCCCTAGATCACGGACTGCTTCCCCAGAGTCTGCAACACTCAGGTATCTCATGAATCAGGAAGAACATTAATTGTGGCTAATTATGAATTGGATTCAAGAAGAACCCTGTAAGCTTTCAGAAGTTAGCATAAACATAGGAGTGCCAGTTTGCATGAGTCAGTTTGAATCTAATTTACGGTATGTTCAACACTGAATTTAATTGTTTAAGGGTTACCCCAGTATGAATGGACAGAACCCGAAAGTGCTGGAGGTGCTTCCTGTGTGTCACTAGTGCATTGACTGTGCGGTTACTCTGACATTAGCTGGAGAAAACAATTGTGAAAGGCTTACACTGTGCAGTTTTAGTTTAATGAAATACAGAAAAATGTTGGCGTTAGTTTTAAGTTTATAGTGACATAAATCAAAGCAGAGCCAAAAAATTAGGAACGACTTGTCCTCAACTAACAACAAAATATTCATAAATAATATTCTGGTTAAGATTTGATATCAAAGACAGTACTGAGAACGTCTGGAAAATTGTTTCCCTCCAGATTACTAGAGAATTTGGATACTCAGAATTACTAGTAACATACAAGGAAAAAAATGTTTGGAAACAAGTTCTCAGATTGAGAACTGAGCATCAAAAAGAAATCATTATCTTATGCCAAATCTCAAATATTTTGTCACAACCACGAAATAAAAATTCAATGGATGGAGGAATTTGGGGGCGAATTCCAAGTGGTTCTAGGACCGACTTGGGTAGATCCAGCAGGGGCAGCTAGAAACCAACCACCAGCAACACAACAGAAGGAGCTGTGTCAGAAATGCAGGAGCAGAATCCCTGAAGACAGTTGTTATCACTGAGCAAATTATGTAGCTGGGCAAATACAGAGATTGCTGCATCTTTACAGGCAATTGAAGGGTGCTTTGAATTTGTGCAATTTTTTTAAAACTTTTTTTAGCCCCGAATGAACTATGAGTTTTAGTATATTTTGCTTTCACAAGCAGTGTAAAGTGCAGTTACTAGAACTTCATAAGCAGTTTCCTTTATTTTCTAGCCCTCTCATCTGCTGCTGGCTTCAGTAATTCTGTTAGTTTCAGCAGATCTGTCTAAAAAATGTTTGACATGTCTCTTGAACAATTTCACTCATGGAATTGAATTCATGGTCCCTGTCTGTAGTTTCCTGACATCAGGGCACATGTTGTCATTTCCTGAGGGAGCTGCCTCCTTGTCACCTCACAGGGTGGTATTCCCCACATAGAGGGATTTCCCAAAGATTTTTATTGTGAAAATTACATGTGTATATATATGTGTGTATATATATATATATATATATGAGTCTATCTGTGGTTTCATTCTGTTCTCCATTGATCAAGGAATATGTGAGAGGAAATGAAGAATTCAAGCAATTATCACTTCAAGTAATGGACCAACAAATTAATCAATGTGACAGCTCTTTTTTTTTTTTTTTCCTTTTTCTTTTTTGCTGTATTAGTGCCTCAGGGACAGGTAAATTGTACACAAGTTGATTGTATGTTTTAAGACATTGTGATGCTTGTGCTATCAGACTGAAAGACCAAGGCAATGCTGTGTCTATAGTCTCCATGAAGGACTGGGTCCTATGACACAGAAAGCTTCTGTTTCTCTATGAGGAAAAGTCTTTTAAAAATGCCATGGTGAAAAGCCCCAAAATAGATGCAAAAGTACTTTGTGGTAGCTTCAGATATATCTAAAAAAACAAACAAACAAATAGAAATCATCATGACCTTCAAAACCTAAAAGTTTCTGAATTCCCTCTGTTCCTTCTGCCTCTATATCTAGACTCTGAAAACTGTCGTTTTCTGTCAGCACCCAGATATTTTCAAAAGCCTTGAAATGATTCCCAAGGATGTATTGTTTTTACTTTATCTCAGCAGTCACCATGTTCATAAATAAGAAAGTTACTGTTTGAGTCAATAACTAGCTCACACAGGAACTGTGAACATAAGTCACTGAGAAAACAATGACTGAGCTGGCTTTCAACTAGTGATTATGGTAGGAAATGAAGCAAGCAAAATGCCACTAGCTCTCTATCATTCTTCTTTAGAAGACTTATTTTCTGGTTTTTTCTTCCATAGTGTATGTGGTCATGCTGCTAAGCATAGAAACTGCATCATCCCAACTAAAAAGAATTCCACCACTGGATTTGTTTGCAAGAGAGCCCTTCCCCTCTTTTAACTTTTGATCTCAAGGTGAATCTCCAGTTGAGATTGATAAAGCATATGAGGAGAGCCAGAGGGAGTTTTACCTCTCATTGGTGTGCTGGCAGAGGAAGGAGATTCAGTTCTTTAAACTAGAACTGAAAATTCACATGGAAACCAGTGTGCACATTTCTACTTGTAGGGAATTACTGTCTTTGTTCACTGAAGGTAGTATAAGTGTTTGGCATTATGGTCACTGCATTAGTGCCTGTGATATTCAGACAGATATGAAGTGGTTAATACCACTGAACCTTAAAGTGATAGAAATGTAATTTGCTATTCCAGTTTGCACCAGTTGAAATCAGTGAGGGACTGAAATAGCCACTCCCATAAGACAATTGCGTGTGAGCTATGCAAGAAACACATTTTTTCTCTGTAGAGCAGTGATGCATCACTATAATTTAGGAATGGTGTTTGCTTATTTTGTTCTTTAAAAAAAAAAAAAAAGGCTTAGTAGAAGCCCCCAAGAAGGTGTGCTGCAACACTTTTTCCTTAAAAAAAAAAAAAGATGTATTATACAGACAACTCAGATATTATGCACAGATAGAAAAGAAGTTAAATAAAAATCTTAGATCACAGTTCAGTACACACATATTTCAGCTGTATGTTGCAGCTGAGTTTGGTTGTGAACTGCTTAACTAGCTTTTGCAGGAATATGTGGTGTGTGTCAGAGTTACACAGCGTAAGGAAGACCTTTCCAATTGCAAGCTGTATTCATAGAGATGTTCTTCCACAGCAGTTTACCTGTGTTGTACATCTGAAAAAATCTGCAATGATAGCACAGGTAGTATTAATAGATAGATGGACAGACCTACTAGATGTTCCCAACAATATTTGCCACTTAGGGGTGAGGAATGTATGAAATACCACAGTCATTATAGAGTCCTTCAGGGAAATCTGGGTATGTGCACTCCCAACTTTACAGATCTAGAGAGGATCAGATAGTCTCTAATGGTGAGAAAATTGCTACACAGACTACAGTGTGCAAAACCAGAATATTGGGGTTCCAAACGCCCAACTCCTTGCTTCCTGCAGTATCAGTACTTCTAAACATTTGTACCAAAGTCTCCAAATACCTAATTAGACTCTGTACTGCTCTACAAATGTGTATAGACAGGTATGTGTGTACTTAGTCACACAAAGCAAGATCAAATTGAGTATGAATTATGCTGGGAACATGTGTACTGAAAAGTATAAAGAATTGGATATTCCTGACATCTCATTTAGATACCTGTATTAATTGCTTATGGTAGTGGTATAAAAAAAGGATTATATCAGGAAATAGGAAACTTGCCTCAGAGTAGCAGTCATTCTCATCAGTGGTTTCATTAAAAAACCTATACCAGTTTTCCTGAGTAGTAACACTACTGTTTATGTTATTAAAAGTTACTACAACAGCGTAGTGTGCATGAATCAGTTTTGATTCTAGATGTTAAAATATATATATATATCACATTTTATAAACTCCTGAAGACCTCATCTCAGGTAATGACGTGGAACAAAATGTATTAGTTCCATATTCATTAACCTTTTTTAAATCACAATATTGAGTACATTGAGCCAATTCCAGCTAAAGAAAGAGAAGGAGTGGAATCCCATCTCAATTCTGAGTTCTTACACATGATTTTAAGGTTTTTTTACTTGCCTTGGCCGCATGGAGTGAGCAGGAATTGTCTTGGGATGCATACACAAAGGTCACTTCAAAAGTAACGCCTCCTATTTATTTTCATGGAAACTACAAATGATAAAGCATAATAACATTATTTGATAGGACAAATTATTTTCTACAGATCGTTACTTTTTAACACGGGCGTCACCATTAGCTATACATTTTCACTGGCAATGAACAAGAGCATGCATTCTGCGCTCATAAAAATACGCACCAGCAGAGCTGACCCACTGTCACTTTCCCCACTGCTGACACACACCAGCACTGTCTCATTGTGCTCACCTCCACTCTTTGGTCTCCATAAACATTCAGTAAGTGTTAATGAATGTCAGTGGGTGCTGTTCTTTTCACACAGAGGAATTTGATGACACGCCTTTGCTTCCTCCTCACTTCCATGTCAGACCGTTAAGCACCTGGGCCTCTCCACAGAGCAGAGCCACCGCCATGATGGTGCAGGGCAGGACGCAGCCGCATTGCTGGGCCGCAGGTTGGACATACCTGGGTTAAGGGAAGAGTAAACTAGGTGGAAGTTGTGCGTTCAAGGTAGAAGCTAATTGTGAGGTTTGTGTAAACATAAATGTGTTCTGAGTGAATCAAAGTCACACCCAGAACTTCTTGCCGCTCAGGCCACAAAGTCGTGTCCATACAGTAGTAACAGTAGCACCTTAATATACTTAGATATCAAAAACAGAGCACAGTTTCTGGTTGTCCTGGAATACTAACCCATGAGAAAAACTAAGTGTACTTTTTCTGCACATGATGAGATGTACAGAAGGATTTGCCAGTAGGCTATTTGAATCATGCTTCCCTTTCTGGCATTATTGTTTGTTGTTAAGATTATCGTGATTTCTCAAAGCCTTCGGGCCAAACAAATATTTGAGTAAAAAAAAGAAGGTCTGTCTAGCATGTGTTCAGAATGACTTTTGAAGAGGGAAGAAAGAAAAGATGGAACTATGAGATAGGGTGTTTTTTTTTTTCTAAATGGAATGTTTTACTTGAAAGTTTCCCAGGAGATATCAACAGCTCTTTAAAAGTATCAGTTTTAAAGTGATGGTACGTAAGTACTATAGACACACTTTTATTTTCTGAGGCTGTTCAGCTGCTGTTATTTTTCAGTCGCTAATTTCTTTTTTATTGATATCTAGGTGACCCTCGGGGCAAACATCAAAAGAAAATCCAAACCAAAACCCAGAATTACCTTAATCTGTATGCTGTAGATGGGCTGCGAACCCTCTGTATTGCAAAACGAGTAAGTCAGTGCAAGATCTTAATTTTCTTTTAAGAGTCTTGGCAAAGATAACTGAAGGCTGTCTTAATTTATTGCTCTTGATTTCTGATTTTTTTCATTTTTTTTTTTTTTTTTCATCTTATTCAATAAAGTATGAATGCTTCTGCATCACTTTGACTGTGCCCTCACATACTCTTTTGAACAGGTTCTGAGCAAAGAGGAGTATGCTTGTTGGTTAAAAAGTCATCTGGAAGCAGAATCTTCTATTGAGAATCGTGAAGAACTTCTGTTTCAGTCAGCACTGCAGATAGAGAAGAATTTGCATCTGCTAGGTAATGAAATGAGAGCTGGGCATAAAATTAAAAAGTGCTGAAAATTCTGAAAGCTTGGCTATGAAATCCATTCTTTAAATATTTTCGGACAGTACAGAAATCAGATGCTTTTGGACTTTGTCATAATTGTCATGTGCAGCACCACAAAGGAATAGGATTATGATTAACATAACAAACATACCCTTTTTATCCTTGCTCCTGCAATCATTTTGTCATTAGTGAAATGGCTGGAGTAAAGCAAGAGATGTATTTGACACAGTGTCATAAATGAGAATTGCTGCTCTAAGTAGGAGAAGGACTTGGCCAATCTTGGCTGCAGAATTTCAGTAGCTTGGAACCTCTTTACTATTCCAGGGAGTTCCACGATTCCAGGGGTGCCAGAGGTGTTCATAAAGCAAAGCTCATAAACTGCTTCTGTGAGAGGCATCAACGCATATACGTCAGGTTCAACACTTAGGGCCTGTGTGCACTGTGGAAGGGGACTGCAATATTTCATAATGGTGTAGTTAAAATCAGTGTATGTAAAATATATTCCAAGTGCAAAGTCATGCTGTTTCTCTGCTCAGTTGAGAGCGCTGAGATTCTAAAATACATATGTATCCACTATTACTCCAAGCATCCAACTTCTTTCTCTGACAGGGGAACTGGGACAGCCGTAGCACTGATGGAGGTAACAGCCTCCACTGTTTGCCAACTTGCCTGTCTCTGGGAGATGAGATCCACCTTACCGAACTTCTGCTGTGTCTACTGTAGATCTCTAAGGCTCATTATATAACTAGTGGAGAGAGAAAAAAAGCAAAGTTCAGTTCATTTGATCTGTCTTAGATACCTCCTTTAGGATTAGATGAATCATGCCTTCAAAGTGGCTGTTTTTCTCCTCTGACTTAAAGGGGAGCTTGAGGTGACTGATTCTGACCACATTAATCAGGAAGATCCCACCATGGTTGTCCCTGTTGGCTCTGGCTGTGCTCTGAAAAACAAAAATGGAAATTGAATTGTGCGATAAATAAGAGAGTTCTTAGGTTCTGGGAATAAAAAAAGTGAGTCTGGAAAAGAAATGTCTTTTCCCTTGTGAACTATTTGAATTATAAAAGCTTTTATAATTCAAAAGTTTTCATGACATTGCACTTCACCTACAACTAGTGCTCAGTCTGCAGGTGGGTTTCTATGGCCGAAGTGCTTTTCTTCAAACAATTATAATGGTAATAAAGAGATGGCAGAAGTTTGCTTTGCTTTTCCTGTTGTTTCAGGTAATTTGTGTATTTGTTATCTTCAGGTTGTCTGATTGTCAGGGCTTACACATCCTCACATTGAAGCCTCTCTAAAACTCAATGTTGGCACTAAAATTGGTCCTGAGCTGCTTTTACTACAATCTGAAAATCTTGTCTTCTATTGATTTATGAAAGCATAGGAAAAATACTCAGTTTGTTATAAACAAGTAGGAAGATTCACTGGGAGTATGAAAAAGCCACATTTTCCTTCTATATTATGGATTATAGATTTATGATTTATTCCTTGCTAAATCTCATCGGGCAACCAGTGTTTTTCTACAAGAGCAAAGAGCAGCCACGAGACACTAAGTAGTTTATGTCTAAAGCCTAATGTGTGGTTACCAAGCTGAAGTTCTGCTGTCATTCCCCTCTGAAAGGGAGAAATCTGTAATGACCAATCCTCTTTTAGTTGAGGAAAGGCAGTCAAGAGCCTTTAGAACTAAATCAGTAATATCTTATCTAGTAACATTCAGAAGAAAGGTTGAAGGTGTAGAGCAGAGAAACAATAAGCAAAGGTACATCAGCTTTGTGAACTACTGTGAGAGTGGCATCAGGTTGCTTTTGAAGTTTGGAACTCTGAATTTGTTGTTGACTATGCAAATGTTTACACCAGCTGTTTTCTATTCCTCTTTCTGGATGCCTCCTAAAAGCTGCCTGAATACTGCATACATTGTTAGTTTCATTTAGCTGTTTCCCAGTGAAAGTGGCTGTAATTTTTTGAAAAATCCAAGGTTACAGTTTGAGGTGAACCGTAAGTGTTTACTGAATGTGGAATAATTTGCTTTTACCGTGTGCTTAGGTGCCACTGGTATTGAAGACCGTTTACAGGATGGTGTTCCAGAAACCATTGCAAGCTTGCGCAAAGCTGGGTTGCAGATTTGGGTTCTTACTGGAGACAAGCAAGAAACTGCTGTTAATATTGCATATGCCTGCAAGCTACTAGATCATGATGAGGAAATCATCACTTTGAATGCTGAATCACCAGTAAGCAGATCCAATACTATACTGAAGTCTACTTGTGAAATAGCTTTACTTTGTTTTCAACTTGTACAATTAAGAGTTTGATGGCTTCTTTTTCCTTTCCCTCTTTTTTTTCTTTTCCTTTTCCTGCTTCAACCGTAATTTTCAGGTAGGACAAATCTTTGAATACTTTTCAGTGAATTACATTTCTAAGTTATAATGTCATGTGTCATAAACTTACTGAAGACATTTAACTGTGTGTGTTGGGGTCCACCAACATGCCATAACAACATAAATGCCTGCATTTGGTATGCTTTCTGAAAACATCCCTCATTTTGCATATTGGCACTAAAGCAACCTGTTATTGAACATTTGGTTAGGAAGAAAACAATTGAATTGAAAATGTGTGCTTTACACTGAAATGTAGTATCTAGATAACTCATTCATGTTTTCTCAGATGGCTTTTTCTCTGGAAATAGAAACAATACTTAAACTTCAGTGCTAGCACTCAAAAGCCAGAAAACCACACCTACAGTAATGACTTGCTTCCTAACAGATCTTTTCTAATTCTTCTGAATTACTGATCTTTCCTGTGCTCAACTTGTCGCAAGCAGACAGTCACAAAGAGTTTACTGATATGATTTAACATGCAAGGAACCAGACCGATAGTGCTGTAGTCCTTTAATGGGGTGATAAAATTGGACTTCAGATCAGCAGAGGAGAGGTAGGTCAGAAGTATCCAGCTCCAATTCTTTTCGAAAAGGAAGAAAAGATAACAGCATTTCCCCTTCTTGAGTGTATCAACTGAACTGGTAAACTGACTTTCAATGATCTTTTGTTTTTTGTCATTCTTTGCTGTACAACCAGTAGCATTTCATTTTAAAAGTTCATATATTCTCAGTAACATCTTCTAGTTGAGTATGCCTAGGACAGAAAATTCGGCTTAAATAACCTTTAATTGGCCTTTAATAATGCATAACTACTTGATAAGTGTTGTAGGCGTATACATGGTGCTCATCACCATGCTCAACTTGGTACTGATACTGATCATTATATCATTCTCCAACGCTGTTATTCTGAGAAGGAGCTAAAAGAAATTCGTTTAGCATACAATATTGCATGTTAAAGAGGAATTAGGTTTTAAGTCTTTCATGCCTTCATTGCTGTCATGTCTTCCACAAAAAAAAAAAAAATGTGTTTAGAGCGAATAGAGAATATTAGAAATTAAAACTTTTATGGTGCAGCAAATATAACACCTCCATATTCCTTATGCCTAAATATACAAAGAACACCAATTTTTGAACACATGTTCTTTTTTCTCATACATGTTTGTTTTGAATTTTTTTCAGGAGACATGTGCTATCTTGCTGGAGCAGTGTCTGCAATGCATAGAATCTAAATTTTCAAACAACACAATAGACGAAGCTACTGGAAACATGACTGTTGGGTTCACCCCTCTCTATCCACCCTCTTCCCCTGTGCTTTCCAGCTTGGGCCTAGTGATTGATGGAAGGACTCTAGCTTATGCCCTGGAACCTACATTAGAAGATAAATTTCTTGCACTAGCCAAACGGTGCCGTTCAGTTCTGTGTTGTCGCTCTACTCCACTCCAAAAGAGCATGGTAGTGAAACTGGTCAGAGATAAACTCAAAGCAATGACCTTGGCAATAGGTAAATATCTCATTTTAAACTAACTCGCTTTGATGTTTACTGAGAATCTTGGGTTTTTGACTTGCAATGGTATCCTTCCAGCTGCCATACAACTCACATACGTTCTAGTTGTGTCTGAAAATGTTTCAAACAGCTTTAACATATTTATTCAAAGCTAGAACAGAACTTTTGGAATAGCATTTAGGATTTCATCCTACAGAAGTTAGGTGCTGGTGATACTACAGTATGCCTTGAGGTTTTGGCATGTCCAAACACTGCTGTGAAGAACTGAGTTAGCTGATACTGTGCGGAACACCATTTTGCAATCAGTGTATTACACAGAACGAAAGTGTGCTCATTGTTGTTTCACTCAGCCATGATTAAGCTCAAAGGTCTGCATTTTTCATCACAAGTAAGCAATACAGCGTAGGAGATGAATTGGCCATCTGTATAGAAAATGAATTTACGACTGGCATCGTGCCAACTTTTACACTACTTAAGAGCTAGTCATTCAGTTGGTGAAGGGCAGATTTTGTCATGCATCCTGGTTTAAATCTGGCAGCTTCTTTCATGTTTCCATAATTTTTATGTAAGAAAAATCAATCAGCTTTTCTTTCCCTATCTCGAGTTTAGGCTCAGGTTACACAAGAAGACACATTGTAACATCTTTTATCACAAAACACTTTTTACATTTCATCCACCTATCTTAGTCAATCATAACATAACCACATGGGTTGGACCTACCTGTGAGAAATCCAGGCTACGTGATAACTGCCAGACACCTATGACATCTACAGCAAAAAATGTATGCTGATTTTAAGAATCCCCATGCCCATTACATTTATCACAAGTATTCCTTTCTCATGCTTATTTTATGTCTTTGGCTGACTGACAGTAGGCATCATCATTTTTGTATGTTGTCAAAAATATCTAACAGGTTAACTTGAATTATCCAGAAAGATTACAAACAATAGTGAAGAATGAGTAGCTTGTGTTTTCAGTCTTTCTAAGCAACCTGAACCTGTGCATTGAATCCAAGCTCTTGCTCTGGTTTAAAAAACTAGTTGTTCCATCTTCCCTTTTAACCAACATGAGCTAAGCTGAGTTTGTTTCGAAGAGTAACAGAGACATCAGTTTTGTCACCTTGTGGTGTGATGATTAGAAAAAGAGCAAGAGATGGTGACTCTGTAACCCATGCAGATAAATCTGCCTGCAGTGCTATATTAGTGATGTCAGACTAGGCAATCCAAGTTAAGAATTCATCCACTTTTTAGTATTGCTGTGTTTTTGCTAGATGGGCGTCTTCACTGCATGTTTCATTCTTAATCGTACCTTACTGCAGACAGTTATAAGGAAGCAGGAGCACTAAGAAGCTCATTCTTGGAGTATTTTCATATTTGTTCAGTTCAGGGCTGTTATTTTATGTTTTAGTGAAAAGAATGTCTCAGCAGCTTTGCCAAGCTTTGAACCTTAGGTTCCAAAGCTGGCTTTTCTTTTAATCCCACATATCCCTTTCTATACTCAGCCAACACATAGTTATAACTAGTTTTCATTTGCTTTGCTGTTTCCTGGTCTACTTGTGACAAACAAAACTGTATCTTGTCATCTTCAGGTGATGGTGCTAATGATGTCAGTATGATCCAAGTTGCAGATGTTGGTGTGGGGATCTCCGGTCAAGAAGGCATGCAGGTAATGTTGCTCGTTCACTGAAAAGCATGTGCAAAGAGTGAAATAGGCACTTCCCATATGCTAGCTTGACAAAGCTGCCTTTGGATAGCCAGCACAAATAAAGGAGAACCTGCAAGTTGTGCTGAGTGCCAGTTGTGCTTCATAGGGATGCTTTCAGCTTGAGTTTGAGCTTGTATTTGTTCTCAGATCTGTGCTGAGCTTACATGTTCTCAGAAAGTTCAGCTTATCAGTCCCTCTAAGCAATGTATTTTAAGAAATCATTTAATAAATATTGGTTTCAAGGAGGGAATAAAGCTCAGCAATGTGTTAGTTAGACATGAAATAAGAGTCGCCTTATTCTGCTGTTATTCTCTCTTGTACTGCTTGGTTATACTCCTCCTGTGGAATAACTGCATCCAGCTGAAGCAGTTTGTTTGTATAGTGTAGTGTTATCTTTTTGCCAGTACACCCACACATCTTTTTACTTAGCCTTATCCAGACAGCAGAACAGTGAAGAAATAGAAAATTGTGGCCCTTTGCAGAACCACTGTTCCCTACAGCACCAAGTGTTGTGGTTTTTTTTTTCCCATTTCCTGCCACAGGGAATGGCACAGTAAAGGGTCTTGCCCTGCAGTCTTTTGGATGTCTTCAGCTGTCATTACTGCATTTCCTACTGTGTAAGAGGCACTTCTCCTGTCCCCAGAAGAGAGGAAGCTTATTTACCTACTGTATTATCTATTGTCTGTCTCCTAATGTTAATGTAGCTCACTTGCTATGCTAACACCAAAAATGGAAGTAAGGCACACAGAATGAGGAAGATACCTCATTTTCACAAACTAAGAGCTCTTCAAGCAGAATGGGAATTGTTTTCGTCCTTAGGACCTGGGCAGATAAACATACTCCTTAACTTAGTTACCAGCAGGTGGTTCTGTGCCCCATGGTGGAGCAAAGAAGTAGTGATAGTTTTTTTATTCCAGGTAATTTCATGAGTACTGTGGTTTAACTGTGTTAAAAACACAAACTTAAGAAATAAAAATCTAACTGAGCTTTGAACTTAGATGGCAAATTTGTGTGTTTTCCGGCATAAAAATCTCTAGAAGCTAGGACAGTAGTCTAGAGAAAAGCCAGGTGTTTCTCCAGTCATACACTCTTCCAAAGGCACTGTCTCTTGGCCACTGTTAAAGACTGAATACCAGGGAATATGATGGGCTTCAGCCTGACCTAGTAGAGCTCTTACTTTCTCTTTTTAATCATCCATGAAGTTTAGTCAAAGTCATCTCCAGTGCAAGTGGATGTCCATCAGTGCTATTCAAAGAGAAAGATTTCAAGCTTCAAATTTCTTAAAAAATGCTTCTCCTACAGCACAGCTGTAACTTAGACTGGAAGAAGCTACCACAATATTCTGATACTTACAGTGCACATGGCATCTCAGCCCTCTGAATCTGACTGTGGTGGATGGAGAGGGCAGGAGAAAAAGAAGCCTTGAACTAAGCTAATAACTAAGCTAAATATATTAATTGCTACATAACAGAGCCTCAAGAGTTTTGCATAGCTTTTGCACCATCATTTGGCAGGCAGTCCAGGAAACCCAGAGGAGAATGTGGAGTCTTCTCCAAGCCCACCAATTCAAAAAGGGTCTGCCCAGGCTCCTTGAGTCTTATCGACTCTTATCAGCTTATCAGCTCTTAGAATCTTTGTATTAATTCAGATCCATTTTTTTCCTAATGTAGACATATGTAGCATGCATTTTTTAATTCCTCGCGCCACTGTGCTACTTTCAGCTGAGCACTGACAATGAGAAGTCCTCAAATGCCCTCCTTTCTTTTCTTTTTTTTTGTGGTGTATTTAAGTCTGAAAGTTATTTGCTCATTAACCCATTAAACTGTCTGTGTTTTTCTAAATGAAAGTTCAGTGGAGTGGAAAATATTAGTAGATCTCTTTCTTTGCTCCAAGGTCCAAAGAACCATGCAGGCCTTTTTACTATAAACAGCTGTCAGAGTCTTATGCATGCAGATACTCAAAAGGCTCTGAGGGTTTGGATGTCTGAAACAGCAATACACTCTGAGTTATTTTCTTTCCAAATTCTATGGAAGTGTGTGGAGCATGAATCATTTTTTCCGTTGAAAAAGCTGGAAGAAAATATTAAAAAGCAAAAATTGAGACGATATTTTGAAGTGAAATAAACATGCAGATGCAGTTGGATAACACTGTCTTCCCATGTTCTTCATTCTAATCAAAATGGAATTTTAAAAAACTATACATTTCCCACAGTGTGTTGTGAAGTAATAGCATAGAAACAGAGCTGCAAAGAAGCTAATCGTTTTGCTTGAACATTGGAACAGGCTGAGATTGGGCAGAGGATAAGGAAGCAGATCTTCAAATCATGAAGAACAACATATATGCAAGACAAATCAGACTGATGTGTGCTGTGAGGTTGTGACAACTGTATCTCAGTCCCTGAGAAATCCCAGGATGGATGGGTCAACATTTGAAAAATGTTTATATAAATCTGTTGCTTAAAATTACACTGCATTCCATAGTGTTTCAGAGTTTATTTGAATAGCTTCTAAAAGCACACTTATTTGGGAAGAATGATTCCTTCTGATGGTTTACCAAGAAAAGGAAGTGGGAAAAATTAAAAGGAAAGATGTCTCATTCGAACACATGGCCTCTAGAGAGTATGAGGAAGACTTGATCCTCTGGAGATTTTCACCTTTCCTCATGCTTTTGCTGAAAAGTAGCTGATATCAAAATTAAAAAATAAAAATGAAATGTAAGGTAGTATTACATGAAATCTTAATGTGATCCTAGGATATGGAAGATCATGAAATGTCTGTGATAACCATCACTTACAGGATGGTGTCATCTAGACGTACAGTGCCTTGAATTTTAGTCATTCGGAAGTAGAGAGAAAGTGCATCCACTTGTCTCATGTTGTCAATTTGATTTGGCAGTCTGCACAACCCCAGGGGAGTCTCATCTAACATGATTATTCATGGAGAGTTTTAGCACATGATTTAAAAAATCCCTCAAAATACGGGTGTCTCAGGACTGCTGAGTAAGCTTTATAAGCCAGGATTTGAAATGTTCTTTGAAACCAGTATTTTTATTGTTTTGTCTTTTAAAGTCCAGTAACTGTGATGCAAGCTCTTAATTGTGCTTTTCTGTTTCATTCACTGGCAGTTCATCTTGCCCCATACGTAACCCTTTGGTTTTACAGAGAAAGACATTACAGCAACCGAGATGTTCACACATGTGTGACTCTGAGCCCTCAGGCTCATGCAACTACTTGCCAGCCATTCTGCCACCTCTTGCTTTCCTTCTGCTTGTCACAACCTGGAGTGTAGACCATCATCTGCACTGGACAAGGACCAGGTCTTCTGGCAAGTTCTGCAAAGCCACCGGGTTTTCTTATGTGAATTCCAAGGTTGCATTTTCTGTGCGCTATAATGAGTTTGATTCCTCATCACCACAACCTCCAGTGACTTTATAAGCTGAGAAGATGACTAGATTCACTGCTGGGGTTGAAAGTGACATCTTACAATAATGGTTTCAACTTTTCTCTCATTACAGGCGGTGATGGCAAGCGACTTTGCAATCCCGAGGTTCCGACATTTAGAGAAGCTCTTGCTTGTTCATGGTCACTGGTGTTATTCCCGACTTGCCAACATGGTGCTGTATTTCTTTTACAAAAATGCAGTAAGTGTTTAACTTGGCAGCTTTGTAGCAACATATGTTTCCAGGGTTTATTCTGTGCTAAGTGAGCATTAGGTCAGCCTTCAAACAGCTTATAAATAAGCTGCAAAAAAACTTGCAGAGTTGAAAGACAGCTGGCTGCCATTTGCAAAAATACAGGACTCACTCCATAACAGCTATAGTGTGTTGCTGAATGTGCAAATTAGGTAACAGAAATAACAAGCACTGCTTAAGAAAAGTTTCATTTATAGAGCAGTTTCACAGAATTTAGCTGGCTAGACACGGGAGTCTTTAATGCCAAGGTCATCCAGCATTGGTCCAAAGTAGCAGTTGGGTGTGTATTCTCTTCCTGACTCCATCTTGTAATTGCTTATGAATCATTGTACAATTTCCCTGGTGACTTGAGATAATTCAAGACCTCTGTGTGTCTCAGATGCCAAGATCTGGAAGATTTTTCATTGATCTATCTTATTCCCAGCTAACTGAAAGAATTCATTAGAAAGGAAGCACACCGTGGTGAAGAACAGACTAAGGGTCTGTGTTTCCTCCCTGGCGTCTGAAAGAGGAGTTAGTCCAGTCCTGGGCACTGAGCCATAGCAGCTCGACTGCCTGGCTCTAACAAAGTGTCTTTGCATTGATCTCAGAGTACAAAGGTGATTGATTGAAAACTGCCTAACGAGACAAGCAAGAATTCCATCAGCTGTGTGGGAGCGGCTGGCTGGCACATTGATCTCCTCACTTTCAACACCTACAAATCACCCTGGGAGCCAGGGATATGAAGAAGTGGGAAAAAGAAGAGAGCCAGAGCTCTCAGACCTCTGCTTACTCCAGAGGATAATATGTGAACCATGAGTGGGAGAATGGATTTCATCCTCACTATCCAAATGTTACTAAGAAAAAATGTAGCTCTCCGTTTCGTAAAAGTTGCATTCCAAATTCCAGTCTCAATTTTTCAATCAGTGGTAAGTTTTTATGTAAATTCCTCTTCGTCTGGCTAATCTCTGTCTGATCTCAACCTGAAAATAGTCATCTTCTCAGGAAAAGACCATTATGTGCTGAAAATTTTAAATATTCTTGGAATATTTAGGAGAACAAAAGCATTAATAAACCAGCTTTGTGCTAACAGGAGCATGATAAAATGCTGTCTGTGGTCTGATCAGAAACTACATGCAAAAAAAAAAAACAAAAGAGGCTTGGAAAGTCTGAATTGCTGCCTGAGCCTGGAATAGCAAGTAGATTTAAATCATGTTGCAGTCAGTGGAGGTTCACCTGTTGAAACACAGCAATGAAATATGTGCTGGTTTTCAAATGTGTGAGTACTACAGCTTGGTCCTGGATGATGCTGAACATCTGCACTCCAACTCCAGCACTGAACATTTCCAAGATACCCTTTGGCTTAACAGTATCAAACCTCCCACTTCCAGGAAGTGTATTTCAGAGCAATCTCATATTAAAATTAGAAAATAAGAAGAAGAAGAAGAAGAAGAATACATGTAAGACATCCCAGCAATCAGCAGTCAGAGATGTTGTTTATATATCTACATTTTTGTTCAGCCCTTATAAAATCTTCCATTTCCTTTGGTACAACTTCCCTCGATTACAAGTATTATTTCTCATGCCATTTTTAGTAAGACATTTTCAAAAGCTGCTGCCTCAGGGTTAGCATATAACTGAAGAATATCCCTTTGTGTTGGCTCTGCCTTGGCAGCCTTCAGAGTTTTCTGAGCAATTCTTGTTTCTGCTGTCTCTAAACTGTAGTGGGATATCCAGCATACAGACATGAATATGTCTGACACTGTGCCTGCCCGTAAGGTAAGATTATTCAAAAATGAAAGATAGGAGCACCTGATCTTTCTACTAGAAGAAAATTCTGGATGATTCTCAGTGGAGAGAAAGATATCTACACTGCAAATGTTCTGCAAGGTTTTACTCACTCAAGTGTTATTTTTCCCAGTTGCATGTATTCTGAAACTTTCCATTTTCTCGTAGAACCTAACTCAAAGTTTAAATTCCAAATTGCTGCAAAAGCCATTTGGAAACTCAGATGACTTATCCAAGAAGATGTTTGGCTTGGAAGAGAGAATAAAAATACAAATAAAATATAAACTAAAACATAGCATGACTGGAAATAACCAAGCGTGATACAAAGGGACTTTATATAAACAAACTTCTACTGCACAAGCATGCACTGCTTGTTCTCCTTAATGCATTACCTCTGCAAGAGAGCACTGGACATTTTTTCATGTGCATTGTATTCACTGAAGTCTTCCACTTGGGGCCAAATTCTAAGAGACTCATCTGGAGAAAAAAAAAAAAAAAGAAACCTTTCTCGTTGAAAAGCTAACTCAATTTTTACATTGAAAATTCATTAAATTTAATTTGTTCTGACTGTTTTTCAGTTGGGTAATGTACACAAATGAGGAAATGCTGTGTTTTAAATCAAACACTTGTTTAATCCAAAATAAAATTTCAGGGGGGAGAAATTGATTCACTGGTTACTGAAGTGCCACTTATTTGTACAGCTTTCTTTAACAGCACTGCTGAGACCCACGCTAGAGATGGCATGAGAAAACTCATCTGAATGTATTTTCATCAGACTCCCCATTTTTGTCAAAGCCAAACTGTTTCCAGGATGGAAATTTAGCAAGGCTCTGGAGAGGAAAATTTCTTAGGTCCAGGATTAGCTGGATTATGTTTATTTCAAGCAAGCAAGAGAAATGTCTCTAAATCCATGTATTTATTGCAATTCCATTTTGTGAAAAGACTCAGGAAGTTTTGTTGTCTTTTGGATGTGGAACGGAAGTAAATTTTGAAGTCTATTCAATTGTGAATGAAATTGCTATCTTCCAGCCAACTGATCAAAAGCTCTGTTAACCCAGTCCTGTTTTAGGCAAAGGAAGACATTTTTCCTGAAATATATGAAGCACTTCTAGAGCTGATCCTTAAGATTACGCTACTGCTTAACTTCTAGCAAATTAGTTTATGGTATGGGCTCACAGATTGTGAGACATGTTGCTACTGATATACAAACTACTACAGTGTAGTATGCACATATTGCCTGAACATGTACATACTGTATATCTCTCTGTATACACATCCATATACATTTATGTATAGCAGGATTAAGCCTCATATTTTCTGGCAGTTTCCCTGTATGAGACATCCTTATTCTCCTTGCAGTGGTTTTCACTGCCTAAGCAGGCTGTGGGTATTTTTCTTACACATTTGAATTTCAAATAGAATAAATTATTATTTTCCTTTAAATACCTGAAGATGAAGAAGGGTTAACATACTCCAGTTAGCTGAAAGCGTTGGAGAGCAAAATATAAAAAGAAGAGAAAATGAGAGGTCATGTCATTTCCCTTCTTTGTGGTTAAAATGAGGAAAACCCCTGAGGGACAGTTGCCAAGGTTGCCTTCTCTGTAGTGTTAATCACTTTACAAAGAATAATTAAAATTGAAATTTTAGGAGGACCAAGCCTTGGAATTTATTTCCTTCCCTAGGAAGCTATGCACCTGTTTCTAGACCTCAAACTTCCCTTCACAGGTGAGGTCAACACCTCTCCTGAGCCCTAAAATCCTTAGGATTTTTCATGTTGCAGGGATTGTAGAAGAAGTGAGTAGAACCAAGCTACATGAACAGTCCCATTCGTGTATATGCAATCAATTCCTTCATTCAAATAAAGAGTAAGTAAGGTAGAAAAGTCTTCACTGTGCTGCTCATCTGCTGAATTTCAAAACACGAAGATCAGAACAGTTAAGAACTACTTTGTTAGACCCTGTTGTTTCATCTGTCTTGCTTCTGGAAGTCTCATAATGGTGTTGGAAAAACTCTGCATTTACCTTTTGAAGACTAGCTGAGCCTTCTAAACCAGAAGGTGTTATTATGGAAATGCTTATTCTTATGACAGCAATGTAAGTGCTGTGTGATGAGTAGTCAAATACCTATGTCAGCTGCAGTTCGGAGAGCTTTTTATGGTTAACTGAGTTGCATTTCAGAATTTCACTTGAACTGAAAATTCAAGTTCTGATTCATAAGATCTGAGGGTCCAGCAGCACAAAGACTTCCAGATTTGCCAAACCGTAACTTAGTTAAGTGGTACAGGCATGAGGAACAGTGAGTTCAAGTCTGGGTTTCACTAGAAAACTCACGTGTTTAGGGTACATGGAAAAGTCCTTGCAGAACTGGAATGAGAATGATTGCAGAATGGGATGATGATGCTGTCTCTCCTCTCATATTTACGGCATTGCTGGTTCTCTTTCAGATGTTTGTGGCCCTTCTTTTCTGGTACCAGTTCTACTGTGGGTTCTCCGGCTCATCCATGGTTGACCAGTGGTATCTCATCTTCTTTAATTTGCTTTTCTCTTCTCTTCCACAACTGATTACTGGTGTGCTGGATAAGGATGTGCCAGCTGAAGTGTTACTATCTGTACCTCAGCTTTATAAAAGCGGACAGAATATGGAGGTAAAAGCTTCTGCTTTTTGTATTATTTTTTTTCTTAAATGCCTTCAATTTCAACTGGAAAGCAACCTGGCTCCAAGTGAGCACATGGCTGATAAAAAGATCTGGATAGTCATTGTTACTATTGCTTGCTATTGCTCAACTGAGTCAAAGTATCTAGATGGCAAAAGTACATCTAAAACATCAGCAGCAACAAAAAAGAACAGCTATGTTTTGAAATGTTTATCAGGTGGGAAGATGGGCACTTCAAATCAGCCTGAGCTGAACACTTCCCTCATGATCTAGACTCACAAATAGCTACTGAAGCAGATTTTGTATAGTACTTCAACCATTCTTACTCACAACTTCAAGCCCGAGCCCTTTACAAACAGACAAAAAACAAAGATGGTTTTAAAAGTAAGCACAGAGATTGATAGGCTCTGAGGGAAGTCTATCAACCTTCATCATCAGCAGACAACAGATTCAGAAAGCTTTGTTGAAAGCACCTTGTCCCTGTCTGCTTAAGTTGCACAAAGAAGACAGAAGGAATTCCAGGAGGGACTGAAACCAAATTTCCAATAATTACAGCTGCAGTGTGGGAAAATCTTTCTGCTTGGCAAAACTATTCACATCCACTTGTTGCTTTCAAGGAGAAAACCTTCCTTAAAAGTATTGACACTCTGCTCTCTGAGGGAGGCAGTGACCATTTTGCCTCTCAGTGTCCTTGTTGACACACTGCTAGACACTGTGCTGCAAAGTTGAAAGAATTTTAGCGCTTTAGTGCAAATTCTCTTCTTCACCCAGCTCCTGCTTTCCATTTTTTTTACATTTCTTTGAAATCTAGTCACAACTTAAGTTTGTTGGGTAGTTGTGTCTGCCTGTCTTCAGCTGGCAAACTGGAGAGAGAAGTCTCCAGTGCACAGTACAATTATTTCCCATCAGCAAGACAGGGACTATTCTAAGTTTGTTTGAAATTTGGTGAATGTTTTCTCTGAATACCTAAAAAGGAATTTAAAAACCTGTCAAAAGTCCTGCTTCAAGTAGGATCACTTGTATGCCTGTAGAATTTCAAAATTGGAAAGACCACTGGAAATCATCTTGTCCAGCCCCCTGCTCCACACTAGCCTAACTTCAATGCCACATGAAGTTGCTCAGAGCTTTATCTAGTCCAATTTTGAATATTTCCAAGACTGGAAATTCCACAGTTGCACTGAGCCACCTGTTCCAGTCCTTATTCACATGTTTCTTCAGTGGATGAAAGGATATTAGAATTCTTTCTAAGCATCTTTCAGTTTTTGCTTTTAGGTTGCTGTGATATTCTTCAAAGGGGGAAGACCCGAGATGGGCCTGGTGGCTAGAGACAGAGTCTGTATCCTCAAATAAATAAATACATATTTTTCCATTTATAAATTATTTTTCCTTATACCTCAGTCTTTTTTATGATCATTCATACCACCACAATCAAAATGTTAGATTAAATATCGTTTCTAGCAAGCAATTTTGTACCCACACACAGATAAATTATATATATACATATGTTTTGTATGTGTATTTGTAACATAGCATACATTCCTACATGAACTTTCATTAAAGTTCATTGTTGTGGATCTTCCTTTCTAAGCATCTATGCATTTTTTCTTTTTTCTCTCTTGCAAATATACATTCCGCGTTTGGGTGCACATGCTGCACGTGATTTAAAACCCATTTACTCACATGCCTTCACCTCAGAGAGCACTTGAAATCACTGGTGTAACTATAGTGCATAAATTTGGGCACCTTCATAAATGTCATCTGGTCTGAGTGTGTATTGGAATGTCAGATTCAGATTACACCCTCCAATAGCAAACAAAAATGAAGGAGAAGATTCTCCTCTCAGAAAGGAGTGACTTGCAGATAGACTTCATAATTCATCCCCAAGGGTGATCACCAAAGTGTTGGAGGCAGTGGCACAAGCCATTTGAAAATCCTAGCCCAGCAAATAGCATCTCTGATTTCCTTTTCTTTTTTTTTTTTTGTGTCGCAGGAGTATCAGCCACACATGTTTTGGATGAACATGATTGATGCTATGTATCAAAGCCTTGTTTGCTTCTTCATCCCTTATTTTGTAAGTGTTTGGTTTAAGACATTCTATTTCAGGCATTTTGAAGAGAACTGGTAACAGTTGGGGCTAAGTTCTGTCTACTTCTTTACAGACTTACTATGATTCGGAGGTGGATATTTTCTCCTGGGGAACTCCCATCACCACAACAGCGCTTTTCACCATCATACTACATTTGGCTATTGAAACCAAAACTTGGGTAAGGTACCCGCAGTCTCCACAGAAACTTGCTGGCATACCCTCATTTCTTTCTTAGTGCAGTCTTACAAAAACACAAAATGTTCATTTTGTTCGCCCAGCACATTCTATTTTTATCAAGTGTTTTAAGAAAACATGAAAAAGTTTTGAACTGTGAATTGTGCACAGCATTGTAGTGTTTTGTATCTAATATGAATCTTTGAAAATGCAAGGCTCTAAATTATTTGCCATACACGCATTTAGCTTCAGAAATTAAGAGCAGTTGATTCAAAATCATTTTCTCAGAAAAGAAAGAATCACTGCTCTTTTGTTGTTTCTTTTGTTGTTCTAGACATTCCTCCACTGGTCATCTTGCATCTTCAGTATCCTTTTATTTTTCTTTGTGGCTCTGGTTTACAATGCTTCCTGCCCAGTATGCCATCCTCCATCCAATCCCTACTGGACTATGGAAAGGCTGATGGGAGACCCGATATTCTACTTCACTTGCATTATATCACCAGTAGTTGCATTGCTGCCCAGGTATTGTATTTTTTCTCATATGTGAAAGCACTTCATACATATGATTACGAGGGCAAGAAATATATCCTCTCGTTGTCTTATCAACAGAGACAACATTTTTCGGTGGGTCATTATATCAAGTCAGGTTGTTTAACCTTTTCTGTACTCCTGACCACAGGAAGAGTCCACAGCTCCTGGCTGTACACCACAGGAGGGGGATAATTGTAAACAGTTTGCTCATGTAGACTGCTGTAAATTGAAGCTCCTGGCCATGCAGAGATTTTCTATCCTGTGAGGTTTTTCATGATTCTTCCAGATTCAACCTGTCCTGATGCACAATACAGAAATTCTGATAGTTCAGAATTCTGAACTATCATAGCATAGAATCATAGAATGGCTTGAATTGGAAGGGACCACAAGAATCATCAAGCTTCAATCCCCTGCCAAATGCAGGGCCACCAACCTCCAGATCTGGTACTAGACCAGATTGCGCCCATGTGGACTCACTTGCCTGCTTATGGATTTAAGAAGCCTTCCCTACCGACTGATCTACCCTTTGCCTTTAAGTCCACATCAGGAAAGATGAAAGACCATATGCCATCACAAAGTGGATCACTGGCTAAAAGCCATTTTTATTACACCGCTTGTTATTATTCACATATTAGCACAGCAGTCAGAAGTTTTCATCAATCATCTTTCTTGTGTCAAATATAAGAAGGGCACATAAATCTCGTTTTACATTTTTTTTATATATTCTCATGATAATAACTTGAATACGTTCTCTCTTTCAGTTCCTTTCATATGCACATTCTCTTCTTGCAGATTTCTGTGCAGAACCCTTCAGGGAACACTATTCCCAACGCAGCTTCAGCTTGGACGCCAGTTGAGTAAACTATCTCCAGAGATTCGCACCCAGCTTCTGACCAAGTTGAATGTCAAAAAAGGACCAATACATCAGACACAATCCTTTGCAAACAGCTTCTCACCAAACCTTGTCTCAAATGCCAGTGACGGTTTTAAGCCTTACAACCAAAACACACCTTCACCAGCATCTCCAACAAATGAGTCACTTTTCCAAGAGCACAAAAAGGCAGAACGTGCAACAGATCTGAATGTGTCTGCATCTCCTCAGAGTGCTCTGTTTTATGAAGAAAGCAGTCTCCCCTCATCAGCACATAGCCAGGAAAGGTCTGTGGGATTTCGTGAAATTACTCACAGCACTTCAGAGATGGAGTTGTCTCCCATGGGAGCAACTTTCCCATGGAGCTCAGCAGTCGACCAAACAGACTTCAGTTTGTTGAAGTGGATCACATCAACTCCACTGTTCAGCCGCTTTGGAACTGTTTTACAGGTGTCATCAAGTAGTTTACAAAATGAAACACAAGACGGTATGTGTGTGCTTGGCTCTTCCTTGCAGGAGGACTTCAAAGACTTAAAAGAACAGAGCTCAAATAACTTCCAGGATAAAATGAAAGGGACCCCAGCTGACCATTGGAAAAGTGACAATTCTGAGTCCACCTTTTTATGACATGGGCCTCAAATATATTTATATATTTTCTATTTGCACACATTTATAGTAAGATTACTCTATTTGTTTCCAAAAATGAAACAGAAAATCAAAGGTACAGAGTGATTATTTAAGAATGTTTAAATACAATATATTGAAATAAGAGCTTTAAATATAAAAAGAAACACTTGAATGTTCCTTTTATATGATTTTTTATTTTTTCATCTCATTTTGTAAGGAAATGCCGTCTCTTTATTTTTCAGATGCTTCTCTTTTATTCTGACACATACTGTAAAAATAAAGGACCCATCTAACATATCCAAAAGGATTCGATTCAGCACCAATCATTGATACCATTATAGGCCATTCAGTAATCAAAGATGCAAAACCATGATAACAGCACACTGCATTCCATCCGTTGTCTGCTCGCCGCGGGGTTTTGTCATAGGGGCAAAACATTTGGCAAGACTGTGGAATTATGGCACACGTCTCTGTAAATGTTAACAGTATCTTACCACCGCATGAATAATACTGGTATTTTATAAGTGACACCATATTTTGATATTGCAGCCGTAGCATTTTTATGTGTCATGATAAAACAATAAATAAACGACTATCCATATTGTAAAGTGACGTCTCAGTCTGGTGTTAACACTAACTCAGCCCCTCACTTGCAGTACCTGGCATTTGGTTGGTTGTGACCTTGTATCTGGCTGTTCAACTTCTGGTAGTTCTATTTGCATTGGAACCATTGGGTGGCAAAGAGGAAGTGCCTGCCGCAGAGCTTAACATGGAAGGATCTGTTGTATTGGGACCCTGCACCAGAGGGGCTGCTTTGGCTGCAGGAGTCAGTTCTGCTTGCTAAAGGGCAGCCCATGAGGAAGGTTTTGTTCACAGCTTTGCTGCTGGTCCAGCCAGGTACAGTCAAGCCCTTGGTGATCAGACATGGTAAGGTGCCTGAGCCTAGTCTAAGACAGATAGCTCCATTATCAAAAGCAGGGAGCTGCACTGCTTTTGAGATTGTACCTGAGCAGATCTCATGTGTCAGAAGCACTGTTGGCGTATTGGCCTCTTCCCCAAAGACAGAATTGATAATAAAAGAGTGGGAAGTATCTCTTGAAAGGAAGACACAAAAGCAATCTAAGAGCCATCAGTCTGTAAATATGTTACCCTGATCAAATGTGACACATCAACATGTAGCTAAACTACATTTTGGAACTGGAATTAATTAGGGATAGAGTAGATATGCTGAGGGACTCACAGGGTTGCCAGTGCCTTCTGTGAGGAGTTATAAGCACGTGGCTGACTCAGAAAAGTTTAGGATGTGAGCTCAGTGAAGGTGGGCAGACATAGGCACTGATGCCAGCATACAACCTTGCTGCTCCATGCTGGCAGGGCAGGGATGTGCTGCCCTCAAAGCTCTTTTTGATCTTTGTTGTCTAGGAAGGGGAACTGCACAGCTCAGCTCAGGTGGGGAAACCTTTTGTACTGTCTCAGCTGGGTGAGAGGATTCCTCATGCAGACACCTCTGCTTGCTCTGCCAGCCTTCTGTATCTTGATGGTGCATCCGATGGGACAACCATACAGGTAATGTTTTGCAAGGTTAGTTAGCTGTATTTAACACAAAACTATGCAGCAATTGCCATTCTAAATTATTCACTACGTAGAGGTGCATTATCTTTTGATGTCACAGGGGAAATGTGTCAGTTTTGCTATCTGGTTAGAAACATTCCCTTGCCTGTAAAATGGGGCCTCACAGAACAGCAGGTGTGGGCTGCCAGGTAGGTAGCCAGGCATTAAATGCACCCTTCAGTCACAATTGTCCTGGGCTGATAGCAGCAGTGTGCCATGTGTGTCACACGTGTGCCTGTCACTCTGCCTTGCAGAGCTTATGGCCCAGATAAATAGAGCATGGTTCATCAGAGCGTGCAAGTGACAGGGATGGAGGCTGAGCTTGGGATTATTATTTGAGCAGGCTGTGCTCTCTGCAGCCTCCCACAGCCAGTTGGAAGTTCCAGATGTATTTTGAGGGCTCAGCTACTACTCCTGGCCCAAATGTGGCAGTATGTTGTGAACCTGAGGCAAACCTTACAGATAGCAAACTGCAGCTGCTGCAGGATAGACCATGCAGGCACAAACCACTTCATTGATTTACCTCTACCTCATGGCCTGGTGCAGACAACAGAAGGAGCTGGAGTATCACTGGGCACCCTATTGGAAGATACTCTCATTGAAAGGAATGTAATTCTTTGCTAGCAATACCTTGTGACAGATAAAATCATAGAATTATAGACTCATTAAGGTTGGAAAAGACCTCTCATCTAATCAACTAATCCAACCAGCAGCCCACCCCCACCATGCGGTGCTACCCTCACCCATGAGGAGCTATGAGATATGGTTTAGTGGCTTGTTGTTGCAAGGATGTGAGGACAGTTGATCTAGATGCTCTTGTAGGTCCTTTCCAACCTTGTGATTCTATGATTCTATGATTCTATGCCACATCCACACGGTTCTGGAACACCTCCAGGGATGGTGACTCCACCACCTCCCTGGGCAGCCTGTGCCACTGCCTTACTGCACTTTCTGAGAAGAAATTGTTCCTAATATCCAACCCCTGAAAGGGTTGCTTTGGGGCTGAGAGGTGCTCATGCAGTGCCACATGGTTGTGTTAGTGCTGCACTGAGTGTGTGTATGGTATACTTGTGTCACGTGTGCAGGGAAGCTCAACATTCCTGTAGATCAAGGTCCACCACTGCAGCTTTTGGTTTCTGCAATCTGATTTACCCCAGCTGGGAGTCAGATCTCAATAAGTACTGTGTTCTGTTGCAAGAAAAACCCATGCTTAGAGATATATGAAGGACATATTTTGAAATGCATGAAATGTAAAAGCTTTGTGCTAAAGGATAAAAAAAAATCTTGTTATGGCAGTGATGGTGCAAACATCTCTGAGTTTAATCTGACATAAACCAAATAATCCCACTGACCTCAGTGGCGCAGTGAGCTCAGATAGGGACACCCATAACATCAAGGCCTCCACGTGCCAGAAGTATGCAGTGAGATCCCTGGGGGCACAGAACTCCGTCAGTACAAAGTCAGTAAGAGACCTCCGTTTTCTTTGGGGAGATAAATTCTAAAATAATACAAATGGAATTTCAACCACGGAGAGGAGGATAAAAAATTAAAAGGGGAAAAAAAAAAAAAAAAACCAAACAGATTTCACATTTGGAAAGAAAATATTAAGCAAACTCATTCTTCTCCTTTCAGAATCAAGTTCTCTCTTCAGCTGCCAGAAGACAAACACATCAAAGCACATTACTTGCTGGGCTTTAGGGCTTGTCAACAACTTGGAGCTGCTATTAACATTTGAAACATTTTAGCTAAGCAAACACCAATAGCTTCTCGAAGCTGTGTACATTGATTTTAATCAAGTAGAAATAAACTTCTCAAGTTAGTCCTGTTGGCGCAGTTGAGTCGTGTTCATGTCTTACAAAAGAAAACTTGAAACTCATGAGGCTGATGCTCTCAAAGCATGCAACTGTTTTCATGCACAGTTCCACGAGGCCCTTAAAATACCCATTTCCAGTCTGTGAGCAGCACGGCTTCAAATAATGACTTCACAGAGCCCTGCAAGCAGTGCTACATCTGCCAGCCTTTGCTTGATGAAGAAGTCCATGTTGAAATTAATGACCCAGAAGAACAGAGCTATGAATTAAGCACTGCAATGTTCCGTATTCCTTGCTCTTATTTATGGGAACTAACTTCTTTGTGATTTATCCATTTTATAAATTTCTCTTGGATGCGTAGAGGCCTTCTATCAAGTTAGCACTCTAAGCTCAGAAATAACATCTCCCACACACGCTGGTGCAGTGGAAATGGGCATATAAATGTCAAAACAGAAAGCAAACACTCGGTGCTTTCACACAGTGCTCCAGCCATATACCACTGCCCCACACCCAGGGCAGCCACGCACCTCTTTGCTGTTCTCAGCATCACATGTAGAGCTGTGGCCATACCCCTAATCCCGGTGTCACACTGGGCTCCACCCCACGCTTTCACAGCCCAAGTGTAGCAGGCCAATCACCCAATCCACACACAGGCAGATATGGGGGATTTGGGGAGCTTTATCCACTAAAGGTGCTGCATGAAAGGGCTTTGCACTAATACCAGCTGCAGTAGTGCAGATATATTAAGCTTAAAATAAACTACATCAGAATTGTACTGGGTTGAATCATCTGGCAGTTGCAATTCCTGCCCTAATCCCAACATTTACATCAAAACCTGAACTAGAAATAGGGGTAACCTCACATTTTCGAGTTCTTGATCCAAGCTGCTCAGTGCCCCAGGCATTGTTCACTCTCACAATAAACTCAGACATGTACTTCTGTAACTGAATGCATGTGGGAGTTCAGGACACCCATGCCAGTACAGCAGCCCATGCTCTGCAGTGTGTGCCAAAGGCACTGGAGAAGCTACTAGAGATGGGATTGTGCAGATGTAACACAACAGTAAGGAGAACTATGGATGGATTCAGCAGCCTCAAAGCAGACGGAGCAATGAAGGGAACCTCAGCACTCAGTTTGGTCATCCCGATGTTACTGTGATGTGTATGGGACAGGCACAGAAATAGTTCCCAAGTGAACTGGGAGCACTGGGAGAGACTGGAAAAAGCATCAACGAAAGGCTGGCACTAGGCAACGTAAGCTACCAAGTGCATAATACTGCTTGTGCTTGCTCAACTCATTTTCCAAAAGCAGTAAATTTTATGGGCTCCTACTAATTCACAGGTCATTTTATGTGTACAACTGTATCTAACCATCCCTGTCTTCCTGCTGCAAAGAAACAGCTCTTCCCCACTTTCCTTCCCAAAACATGTACACACAGAATCACAGAGAATGGTCCAAGGTGGAAGGGACCTCAAGGATCATCAAACTCCAACTCCCCCATCACAGGCAGGGCCGCCAACCTTCACATTTAATACTAGACCAGGCTGCCCACAGCCCCATCCAACCTGGCCTTGAACACCTCCAGGGACGGGGCATCCACAACCTCTCTGGGCAGCCTGTGCCAGCACCTCACCACTCTCTTGGTAAAATATTTCTCCCTGATATCCAACCTAAATCTTCCCTCCTTCCCTTCCTTACATAGGTAGCATAGAGCCACCTTCCCCTTCAGAAATCCAAAGTATGGCACAGCAGCACTCATCATTTGCAGGAATTGAGATGATGAAGGGCCTGGAGCATCTCTCCTGTGAGGAGGAGCTGAGAGAGTTGGGACTGTTCAGCCTGGAGATGCAGAGGCTCCAGGGAGACCTGATAGTGGCCCTTCAAGTATCTAAAGAAGGCTATAAGGAAGAAGGTGACAGACTGGAGAAGAGGAAGCTCAGGGGGATCTCATCAATGTCCATAAATCATAGAATCATAGAATCATAGAATCACAAGGTTGGAAATGACCTGTAAGATCACCTAGTCTAACCGTCTTCACACTACCACTGCTACCACAAGCTACTAAACCAGATCTCGCAGCTCCTCGTCCAGATACCCAAAGGAAGAGTGCACAGAGGCTGTTTTCAGTGCCCAGTGCCAGGACAGGAGGCCATGGGCACAAACTGGCACACAGAAGCTCCCTCTGA